TGTCATCCGATCACGTGCAGAGACCCACACAAGCTCCCCAAGCTCCCCCTTCACTCACCGAGCTCACCGATAACACCGAGACCGCCGCCTCCATCTCCACCAAACCTCCTGTCGTCCCCAAAAATCCGCCGCAGAAACCATCACAGCTTTGGATGACTCTACAAAGCCATTGCGCCTCCACAATGGCCGTGATCCCCTTTCTTCCTCCCTAATCCAATTCATCTCTCATTTCTCATCATTTAGCACAATCTAAAACCACCCAAAATGCTCGCCCGCACCCTCCGCGCCGCGGGCGCAAGCACAACCCATCCCGGCGCCGCTACAGCCCTCGCCCAGCAACAGCTTCGAACAGCATGCTCCTCCTCCTCCCACCCGTCACGCGGCCCCGAAACCCTCCCCTCAAGTCCAATCCGCGTCCTCCGCACCGTCTCCGCCCTCCGCCACTGGCGCCGCCCCCACGTCCTAAACTACCGCTCCGTCGGCCTCGTCCCGACAATGGGCGCCCTCCACGAGGGCCACCTCTCCCTCATCCGCGCCGCCGCCCGCGAGAACCACCATGTCGTCGTCTCCATCTACGTCAACCCGGCCCAGTTCGGCATCGCGGAGGACCTGGCGTCCTATCCCGTAACCTGGGCGCGCGACAGCGAGATCCTACGGAACCTGGACCGCGAGTTGGCCGGCGACGGGGATATGCTCGGCCGCGTGAGCGCCGTGTTTGCGCCGACGACGGGGGAGATGTATCCCTCTGGATTCCCGGGGCAAGAGGTCAGCAGCAAAGGCAGCTTCGTGACGATTACGCCTGTGGGCGAGGTCTTGGAAGGCGCGAGCAGACCTACCTTCTTCAGGGGCGTCGCGACGGTGTGCATGAAGCTGTTCAACATTGTCCAGCCGGAGCGCGTATACTTTGGCCAAAAGGACGTACAACAGACCGTCGTCATCCGCCGCATGGTAGAAGACTTCATGCTCCCCATGGACGTCGTCATCGGCGAGACGACGCGCGCGGACGACGGCCTGGCCCTGAGCTCGCGGAACGTCTACCTCGGCGAGCGCAGACGCAAGGTCGCGACGGTGCTGAACCGCGCGCTGAAAGCGGCGGAAGATAAGTACCAGCAGGGCGGCGCGCTGGACCGGGAGACGATCCTCGGCGCCGCGAATCAGGTTACGACTGACGTCCTGGCGGAGCAGTCGAAGCTGGCGCCCAAGGATAGGGTCCTGTTTGAGGTGGACTACATCTCGCTGGCGGACCCGGACACCATGCAGGAGATAGACACTGTTGTGCCGACAAAGGGCGGTATACTGAGCGGTGCTGTGAAGATGCTGCCGGTGGAGGAGCCGCAGCCTGGCGAGGACCTTGGTCATAACGACGGTCCTGCAGTGCGTCTCATTGACAACATTATTCTCAAGCCTAATACCCAGTAAGGAGCGACTTGGTGGGCTGTATTTGGATAAGAATTGAAGGCAAAGTACTATCACTATTTTACCGCATAATGCTATATAGACTTCTTATAATCTCCAAGAATGCCATGCTTTGCAGCTAACAAATACTATCGTAAGATCATCACGCTTGACTTGACACGATTACAGTAATACATCATTCATTTACAGGTGCGCGCGGTTCTCCAGAGATCTGCGCCTCCTTTGCTCCTTGACGCTTTTCTTCAACTGCCGCGCGTCTTCGATACTCAACAGGGGCGACACTCCCTTGCCGTCAATGTTTCTGGCAGCATCAAATAGTTTGCTTCCCAGCAAGTCGGTCAGACGGAGCACCCGAGTACTGACAGTAGCGCCATCACGACGATTCTTTCCCTCGCGACGACTGGAAGCGATCTTCTCGGTAAAGTCCCACAGGCGACCAGAGGCGTTAAGGGTGCCGGTCTCCGGATCGCGAGAGGGGCGCCATTCTGGGTCGAGACGCAGACGTGGAGGAACCTTGGGGTCTTTTGACTTGACAACCTGAAGGATACCTTCTTCCTCAAATCGTTGGTAGGCGTTCTTCAACGTCTCTTTGTTGACCGCCTCAAAGTAGCTAAGATCGCCTTGGTGGTAGAGTGTCTTGCCGAGCTGGGGGGTGTTAGCCATATATACCATATGTAGTACTAATAGTAGTCCACTTACCACTTGTGCACTGCCCTGGGCTTTTGCAACCTCAATCCAGATGTCATCCTTCTGGCCCAGAGGCGGCGACAAGCCCATCAACGAGACAGCTGCAAGCCAACTAGCCTCGATAAACGGCCAAATAAGGAAGCAGTAAAAGTCGTAGTTCTCCCGTCCGACAGCTCTCTCGTGATCTGAAAGACCTACCACAACCACCTTGCCCTGATCATCCCGGTGCAATTTCAGCACCTTGTCCGCCTCCAGGTCTCGCAGCGTCTTTTCCAAGTTGGCAGCTAGACCTTCACTCGGGAAGATGAACTCTCCACGGAACAGTGATGACAGGAACTGAATCTGGTCTTGCAGCTCTTGGAAGGAGATATCCTGCATGGCCGGGCCACCACCCTGCTTCACCTTCATGTACATGGCGGCGCTGACAATAGCCTCCGAAATGAACAGATGAATAGTCATGTTGCGATAGAAGGACAGCTGGAAGCGATCAACAGCGTAGTAGGTAGGCTCTGGAAGGTCTTTCACGACGCCAACCAGCTCCTTGCCCAGAACATCGAGACCGCGTTCGATAATGTCCGAGAGGGGCGCAGCTCCAAAGTGAGCGACTCTGCCACCCTTTGCCCGCACACGGTCGGTGAGCCACAGAACGCGTCGCTCAAGTTCAGTCTTGCCTACACCTCTGCCTCTCAGCGTGAGCAGGACAGTGCCAATCAAGGCTGTAGGCATGACGACAGAGACATCATTGATGTCCGATAAGACCTTGTAGCCTAGAATTCGAAGAAGCTTCTGTCGGATAGCCGTGTTTTCGGGGTTCTTTGTGTCCATATTGAGGCCGGTCGGTAATCTTTCCAGTCTCGTGAGCTGCTCGTTGATGAAGCCGCGCAAGCTCCAGGGCTCGTGGAACCTGACGTCAACTCGGCCAAGTCTCAGAGACAAGACTGAAGAACCCCCGGAAAGGAAGTCCGCCAGGTTCTCTTTCTTTTTGGGCACGCCCAACAGCTCGGTAACGTAGCCCTCGGTTTCAATGACCTTGTCGTACTGCGTGCTCACTGGGCAGATGATGGCGTCCTCCACGCGACCTGAGAGAATACTGTCCAAAATGAAGCTAAGGATACCAAACTTGGGAGGCAACAACTTTCCTGTCCTTGAGCGGCCACCCTCGATGAAACATTCAAAGTTGTAGCCACCTTGCAGCAGCGTGTCGATATACGTTTGCACGAGAGTAGTGTAAAGAATGTCATCGCCAAACGCTCTCCGAATCCACATGGCACCGGCATGCTGCAAGAAGCTTCCTACAAGAGGAAAGTTCAGGTTGTCGCCAGCTACGACGACGGGCAAGCCGAGACCAAGGCGGTAGCAGATAAGCTGGAGAGAAACATAGTCGACGTGCGATCGATGGCAGGGCAGGAATATGATGCTCTGCTTCTTCTTTTCGGCCTCTTCAGCAACCTTTCTCAGTCGCAGAACCTCTTCGCTAGAGACGTGGATGCCTTGGTTATAGGCCCGCAACGTCAACTGGGTGACAAGATAGTATGCGCTTCTGATGAAGGTTTTGCTCTCAAACTTGCAAATCATGTCGTCCGTCATCTTGTCAGCCACCTCTTGGATACCAGACTCAATGACAGCTCGTCTGCGTGCGCGCTTCATGGCAAAGTCTTTGTCTTGCTTGTTCAACAGCCCTTCTTTTTCCTCGACAGCGACACGCTTTTCAGCGAGATCCGCGATGCGTGACTGCAATAAGGGCGCCGAGAGCACGGCTTCCTTCATCTTGTCGCTAAAGCCGGAATAAAAGATGGGTTGGCCGATAGCATTATCGTAGGCTCGCCAGCCGGTGCCGGAGACATAAAGAGAGACTTCGCGGAGGAATCTAGTATGAAGAAAATAAATTAGCCTTGTTCCTGGATCGACGTTGAGGCTGAATCCAGTGGGCAGGCGGGCCGGCGCGCAGGTGGTACATACTGTAACGGTTCCTGGCGAAAGCGTGCCATGTGCTTCATCAGAGCCTCTTCCTTTTCGTCATCGCGTGGCTGGGAGGGCTTGATATAGCCGCTAGGTTGAAGGGTGATTTGGTCGCCGAGAATCTTCAGATCCGGCGCGGAGTCGTCGTTCTTCGCCATTGTTGGGTGAGGATTCGAGAATGTGGTGCGAGTCTGGTCAGTTTGTGACGTCTTCGAGGTGTTCGTGGGGTATCGAGTGAGGTAAGGTCGGGGAAAGAGGGCGCGTGGGAATTGTAGATCGTCGAACCTCGGCCCGTCTGTCCGTGGTTGTTGATATCAGTGCTAGCTTGGTCGTTCTGGGATGCTCCGAAACAGTCCGTCAAAGGTCCCTTGCCATTGCCGACAGTGGAAGTACACGGCGGAGGATTGAGACTACCGTTCTTGTGTCTCGGGTCCCTCGATCAAAGTCGCAAGATGGCGTTGGAGAAGTGACGGACTGTTGGGACTTGGAGAAAAGGAGACTGGGTGATGTGTGTGGTGTGGAAGATGCGCCGGAGAGCCTCCAAGTCGCATTGTCATTGCCCTCCGGGTTCTGGGGGGGAATTCTTGGTGGACCGTTGAGGTCAAGTGCCACCTGCCCGCCTCTGTTAAGCCGAGCTCCTGCTCAAGTGGCATTTAGCGGCTTCGGCATGTGAACAAACACTAACCATCCATGTTGCTGCTGCAGGAGCCACCCTGCTTCTGGTGCCTGCCACCAATTGGAGTTAGATACGTACCCACCCATAATCTGGAGGCACTAACATTTAATTTTCCATCTTTCCAGCGCCAACCTTGACTCTTGCATTTTGACATGCAATCACCACCTTCGCGACTTTTTGCGCCAGCACACCTACACCAGGACGCAACAACATCCTGATCTTGTTGAACGCGTGCAGACTTCTATCAGACTTGGGGAACAAAATGGCCCCCTCAAACCAGCCCATTACGCAGGCTCTCCTCGCCCGGGCACACTCTCCCGACAGCGCCAACCGCCTCTTTTCCGAGAAAATCCAGTACAGACCGCTCTACCTTAGACCAAGCTCGCCACCACCACCGTCAAACGCCCGAGAGACCCGTCGCAAGGCCCGCAAAGAATCAAAAAGGAAACAAAAGCTCAAGCCGAAGCCACTCTCGGCTCGCGAAAGACACAGGCGGGGCCTTTACGAAGTACCTCGCGAGGGCCAAAAATACTCCATCTTCGAGCCCCTCCACCGCCTTTGGCTGGGCTACATTGAGGAAATACTGGGCTCTGAGCTCTATAACGGCGGCCCTTCTGCGTCGGCAAAACTAAGCGCTGCTGAATTCCACGGGGCTGCGGTTGAAGTGTCGCGTAGCTCTTGCCCGAGCAGGGTTGGCATCAAGGGCATTATCATCAAGGACGGCAAGTTTGCGTTCGAGATCATAACCCCAAAAAATGACATCAAGATTGTCCCAAAGGAGGGCACATGGTTCAAATTCGAGATACCCATCAAGGAGCCGGATACGGAGGCTGTCGCGCAAGGCACCCCTCGCCAATTCGTTTTCGAGGTTCTCGGTGACCAATTTCTGATGCGCGGGGCGGATCGCGCAAACAAAAAGTTCAAACCTCACTACCTAAAAAACTTATGAGCCATGCACTCGGTGCATGACGCCTTACGACGTGCACTAGGCATGGTTTGTCGACTGAATGGCTCAAAGAAAAAGCCGGTCCCGAATTGCTGGAAACAAGTACGTACGAGTTAACGAATTGCGCCTTAATGCTATGAAGGCTGGGCCACGTAGGAATGGAGGGAGACAAGAGCGCGGGATAACCGTTCAGTGGATGGAAGATGGGGGTCAAGGGCGTGCAAAAAGTGTCCAACGCGCTGCAAGAGTGCAAGAAGAAAAAGGAAAGCACTCTGAACTGTGGAATCTAACCACTGGAACTCCCCGAGGTGGGCTCGAACCACCAACCTCCAGATTAACAGTCTGACGCGCTAGCCAATTGTGCCATCGGGGATGAGATGCTTGTTGTTGATGGTCGAGGTCAGTTCCGTGCCTAAGGCGGGGACCAGCCTTCGAGCCGCCCCTGACGAAGGCCGCCCGCGACTGAGCAAGCGCTGACCGCGACCAGAGCGACCGCGATGTCAATGCAGCTCGTCTTTCGAAGCTGCGATCGCGAGGCGGCATGCTTCGTTTACCCGTCGGTCGATTGAGACGCAATTTTAGCCGTCTTTGCCTTGCCGGGGATGTTTGGGAGCGCCTTTTAAGTCAGCTCGCAATCACCAAGACGCGATACCTGGCATGCCGCTTTACTAATCTCATCGTTAAGAAGATTGATTCTCAAGTTTGCTCCAATTCGAAGTTAGATTTGAAAAAATTCATTGGTGTTTCTAGAATTGATGAGACCATAAGATTATTAGACGACAGCGCGCGACGCTCAACTTGATGATCGCGTTCGTGAGGCCGATGTTGACTTACACAAAAGTCTCAAAGCGACATCCTGCCACTTACATGGAACAACAATCATCAGCGCCCCTGATGGCGGAAGAAAAGACACGAAAGCGACGAATTCGCGAGATGGAACCGTGGCACGTCACAGAAAGAGCGTCGGGTTACATAATGGCGGCTACCTGCCTATCCTAAAAAGAAACGCGACGCGTGCGACCGCACGCCGATGACATCAGGACTCTATTAGACGGGACTGGCCCAGTCGCGCGCATTCCGCCTCGAAGCTGTTTGCTCACCACAGTAACCAGCACTTTTCGACACCTTTTCTTTCCCTCTCAACTCTCTCCTCTTTCTTTACTGCGATTAACATACCAAACAAGCCCAACTGACCTCTCCTAAGCTTTGTTCTTCTTCCAAGAAAGAAAGAAATCCACTCCGATCATCCAACTACACATCTTGCCACCACCATCGATTTACACCATGGTCACCACAAGAACAAGATCGCGCGCCAACAGTGCCACCGATGCCAATGGCCTCGCAGATTCTTCAACTGCGGCTGGTGAGAAACGTAGCATCGAAAAAGACGCTGCCGGGGGATCCCCCGACGCCAAGCGTGCGAAGAAGTCGGATGATGATTCCGCTCGTCAGACCACCATTGACGAGGCCTTTGAGAAGAAGGACGACGCAGAAACCGGAAAGACCAAAGAAGAGACCGGAGCAAAGGAAGATGCCGCCGACACGGAGATGAAGGATGGTGAAGAAGAGGCCACCAACGACTCGACGAAGCCAGAGGAGCCGACCAAGGAAGAAGAGGCCGCCATGGCAGAAAAGGTGGAGGAGGTAGAGGAAGCAGAAAAGGAAGATGGAAAGCAAAATACTGAAGAAGCCACGACAGAGGATAAGCCAGAAGCCAAGCCAAAGGACGGAGAGTCTGCAGAGAAGACGGGCGAGAAGAGCAAGGTCCCCTCTACCATTCTAGAAAAGGGAATCATCTACTTTTTCTTCCGTGCCCGCGTCAACACCGACGGGGCCGAGGAAATAGATGATATCGCCCGCAGTTACATGATCCTCCGCCCCATCGGTACAGACTCCAAGCTAGGCGACGGTCCCATTGGCGACGCGGGCAACACGCGCCTGCTGGCCCTGCCGAAGAAGGTCTTTCCCGAGACCGACCGCGACAAGTTCATGGTCTTTGTCGAAAAGGCAGGCGCCTCCTTTGCTGAGCTAAAGGAGGAGTTCCTCTCTGGTGCTGATAACCAGACCAAGTCTGGCGTATCGCATGCGCCTGCTGCCACACCGGCTGGAGAGGGCGTCTACGTGATCACCTCTACTGGAAGCGATAGCCATCTCGCGTACATGCTTACCCTGCCGTCTGACCTTGGCGAGGTGCAGAAGGAGCTTGGACTCAAGGAGAAGGGGAGCTTCATCTTGAGCACGAAGAATCCTTACAAGAAGGGCCCTGCAAACGCTAGTCTCGATCAGACTCCCGACTTCCCAGACAGGTACATAAGATCAGGATCAATCCCCCCCTTAGGCTAAGGTGGAGCGCTAACAGGTTGACATCTAGTATCAAGGACGACTTCCGCGACCTGCGGTGGACAAACACCAAGCCCGAGCATCTCGACTACCCCTATGCTCAATTCCTCTTCATTGGCCAGTCTGGAATCGGGAACGCCGTCGAGCCAAAGTCCAAAGACGTCAAAGCTGGCAAGGAGAACCCAGAGGACGTTCTCGAGGAGATTGCCGAAGAGGACGAAAAGCGCATGGAGCACCTCTCTGGTGACGACTCGGCTTCCATCTTTGCGGACCTACAGGCGCGGGCCAAGGACTATCCGAAGCTACAGACTACCTTTTGATTTTGATCGTATTGCCTTCCTATTGGAAAAGTTGGCGTGTCGCCGTGTATTCTATCAACTTATCAGGAGGCGCACAAGGGCTGGAAACCGCTGGATAATTGTTCAGTTCAGTCGTGCCAAATGGTGTAATTTGTACCAGAGTATTGTCTCTAACATACCAAATCAAGTATTTCATTCCTGCAGTATTTTACACTGAATGAAACTCTCTTGGCCAGCCCATCGGAGTGACTGCGGTTCGAGCTAATCGTGGCACCGCAAAACTTCAATCCAATGACGTTTGAAGTTTTCACACCCATAATGATCCATCGAAGAAGCACTCTCCGCAGTTCTTGAAGACTTCCAATAATATCAGATGGGCAACTTCCGCAAACAACCTCCTTGAAGGAAGCTTAGGCTCTTTGGTAGGAACAATACTTCACCTGCAGAAAAGCCAAATTCACTCAAGTTCAGGATGGAAGATCAGGATTCCTTCAAAAACTTACCAGACCACATTGACGGCGGCTGTTGATTGATCTACCGCAAGTGTTAGCTAAGAAGTGATTGGTTCAGGTACTCAGGTACTTAAGCACCACATGCAGGATTCCGTCAAGGGCGGCGATCCTCCTCTTCCTTCGCCGATGGCCTTGCGGCGAGGGAGCTGTGAGATCCCGATCGGCGTTAAGCAATGTCGGGGATGCGGAGCCCCGATCGCCGATACACGACGACCACGGCCCGTGATACCGACTTACACGGTAGGTGAGACGGGACTGCACGAATGAGACAGCCGTTTTCTCAGCGTAAGCTGCATTTAAGGCGGTCATTGTTGGGATCTTATAAAGAGCATCAATATCCCTTCACATGGATTCATTCTCCAACTCACTATCAACCTCAACATTAACAACCACAAGATATTGAGACTTCATCACCAAAACATTTTCAAAATGACAACACTCAAAGGAAAGACGGCAATCGTCACAGGAGCATCCCGTGGACTCGGCGCAGGCATGGCTCTAGACCTCGCACGCAAAGGCGCATCCGTAAGTCCCTCTAACGTCCCACCCTCCTACTGCTGCATTCGCTCACCAACAACAGGTAATGCTCCTCTACACGTCCGACTCAAGCGCCCCCAAAGTCCAATCCCTCATCACACAAATCACCTCCCTCCCACACGCCCCCTCCGCAGTATCCTGCAAAGCAGACCTCTCCTCAGAAACCGCCCCCGCCGCAGTCCTCGCTGCCCTCGACGCCTGGCTCGGCCCAGACGCCCACATCGACATCCTAATCAACAACGCCGGCACAGAGCTCAACGCGCCGCTAGGGAACATCACCACCGCCGACTTTGCAAAAGTATACGACCTCAACGTCCGCGCGCCGCTCCTCCTAACCCAAGCTCTACTCCCGCGCCTGGCACCTAAAGAGGCACGCATCATTAACATCGGCTCCGTGGGCGGACGGCAAGGGTTCCCTGGGTTGGGGCTGTATTGCTCCTCCAAGGCTGCGCTTGAGGGTCTGACGCGGGTTTGGGCGCGGGAGTTGGGGAGGAACGGGTCGACTGTGAACTGTGTTGCGCCCGGGCCGGTGGAGAGCGATATGTTGGATAAGATTCCCAAGGAGCTGGTGGAGATGCAGAGGCGGCAGACGCCGGTGGAGAATCGGACGGGAACGGTGGAGGAGGTTGCGAGGATTGTGTCGTGGCTTGCTGGTCCCGAGAGTTCGTGGGTTAGTGGGCAGGTTATTAGTGCCAGTGGTGGTTGGGCGATGTATTGAGGGGGTTATGCATATCCTTTTTGAGAGGATGGAGCGGAGTCGACGAGAATTCGTACGTTTATATCGGGGGCTGTTGTCCAATACGTAGTCGTTGGCAGACAGGAAGTTATTGCTCACTCAAGCTTTAAACATTTCGCAATCATCATCTACTTGGGCCAGAGAAAATGCCTGCTACATTAAGAATTGAAGCATTCCTCGCAAGCAATAAATCTTGGGTATATTCTTTTTCCTATTCATCTCTCAGCATCTATGCAGAAGCCTTGGCAGCCTCCTTTTCCTTTGCCTTGGCGGCCTTCTTCTCGTCAATTTGGCGCTGCTTCTCCAGCTTCTTGAGCTGATTCTTCGTCATCTTGCCGTCGGCACCCTCAGCGGGGCCATCGGTGTTGGCCTCGCGGATAGGGATCGACTTGAGGTTCTCGGCAAGGCCCCAGGACAACGGCCGGCGGGAGAAGAAGAGGTTGACAGTCTCCTCGTCCACCTTGGCTCTCCTCTCCTGGAAGGCCGTGCAGTACTTGGCCAGCTCCTCGGCGCACCTCTTCTTGATCTCGCCGGTGAGCATCTTCCCTGTGCGGTAGTCCTCGCGGATCTTGGCCAGCTCCTCATCATCGTCGAGGAAGAAGCGCAGGTATTGGTAGCTGACGTCGACTGAATATTGATGTTAGCTACCACGCACACAAAATCACATTCTGGGTCTGCGATCTTACCATCCGGATCGGCTCCCTCAGCGCGCTGCTCCTCGGCAGTAACCTTGCCACCGCTGAAGGCATACTTGTTCATCTTGTTCTGGATCTGCTTGGGTGTGTCGTTCAAGAAGATGGCACTTGAATCAATCGACGCCGACATTTTGGAGCCGGGCCCCTGAAGAGCATCGAGGAAACGAGAGTGAATGAGGGAGGGCTTGGCGTAGCGCAGGCCGGCGGCACAATCTCTTGTCACACGGAAGTAGGGGTCTGTCTTGACGTTAATCTCATCTCGTTTTTATGGCTATACTGGGCAGGAAAGACAAACCTTGGTCAATGGCGCAAGGAATAAGGCAAGGAATCTGAGAAGTCTTCGCCTCGTCATCGCCAAAGATGTGGGGGAATGAGTTGCCAAAGGAGGAGCTGGCTTGGATACTGGCAAAGTGAACCTTGCCAATGTTGGAGCTGTCGTCGAAGCCGAAGACGGCCTTGGCTGTGTTGAGCGTGATTCTCTTGGCCACACGCGTGACGTTCCTACGGGAAAGTCAGCATTGATTCTCGACTCTGCCTTGTACAGCTCGGAACGTACTTGTAGAAGTTGCCGCCCATGTAGTCGTAGTCGGAGAAAATGAAGGTCCTCTCGGGATTGAATCCAATTGCAATGCTGCATAATGTTAGAACGCATACTTGCGGATAATGCTGGAAGTCTTACATGTCCTTGGCATTTTCTCTTGTGTAGTGCTGAACCTCCTCGACCGTTCTCTTCTCAGAAAAGAGGAACTTCTCATCTATGCCTTCCAGTCAAAAGGGAGTTCCGGGATAATTCTTTAGCGCTTTCTCTTACCGTCGGTCATCATGATCTATGCTGGAATTAGCGACTAACTTTTCAAAAGAAGCAACTCCAAGCAGAACGTACCACCAGTGGCGCATCGAGCACATCTGACAACCACTTCGTCAACTGGAAAGGAATAGCATGACCAACGTGCATGCTGTCGGAACTCGGTCCACGGCCTTAATACAATCTTGTCAGCCATCGTCCTGGCCTATACTGCTTCCTATGTTGTTCTTCAGACTTTGTGACATCTTGAAGCCAACGCACCAGTGTAAATGAAGAAAGGCTGCTTCTTCTCGACGCGGTCGAGGATGAGGTCGAGATCGCGGTGGGAGAAGACAATCTGGCGACGGAGGAAATGGTGAGGTCTGTGACCAGTCACGCGCTCGAAGCGCTCGAGGAGGGCATCGTCAATCAGCTTCGTTCCGAACTCGTCGACGATTTTCTATGCAGCGATCAGAGATCAGCTAGAGCTCTCCATTGACGAGGGGGGCTGTAATTCTTACCTTGTAGTCAATGGCCTTGACCTTGCCATCAGTGCCGACCTATTGTCTCGAGTCAGTGCATGCCCTTCTCACTTATACGTCGCTATTCGCAAACCCACTTCTCCAGACACATTCCAGGGGTCGACTTTCTGGCCGCCCGAGGCTGCGGGCGCGTCGCCGACAGCTTCGGCGGGGATGGCGGCGGTCGGGGCTTCGGGTGCGGATGCCATTGTGTCGCGTGGTCTCGGTCGATGATGTGGAGCGTCGATTGACGAGAAGAAGAAGAATCCGGGGTCCTAGCGGCTAGTCAATCGTCTTCTATACGCCTCTCGTGGTGACTCGAATTGCTTGATGACACAGAGCTGTCTGGGCAAAAGTTCCGGAAAGCATGAGTCAATGGCGGGGTGAGGGTGTGCACCTGCCTTTGCGAGTCAAAGTGCGGCTCAATTTCGGTGTGTACCCCGCTACCCCGCAGTCACCGACACACCACGGTCACTCCCTCGGTGAGAACCCGGTGGGAGCCAACATCGCTCTTGGATCGCGGATGCACAGCCACACGTATTCTGAGGGATCTTGAGGAATCATGGGTGGAGGAAAGAAGTGGTCATTTATTCAAGCTGAAAGCGAAAGTGTCAGATAATAATGCAATTCTCTTCCCGCTACTGTATCTTGACTGGTGTGCCGTTCTGCGAAATGCAATTATCAGGCATGTAACCCACCCCAGTTCGTTCATACACCATCAATCCACCAGCACTCTTTAATGCCTTGGGGGTGATTAGCAAAACAAAACACCTCCGCACATCTTGCGTTTTGTCTCTAGACCTTCCCACTACAATCACTCTCACGTTTGGTAGTTGGCCATCACTTTTTGCCGGGTTGTCAAAGATGAGCTTGCTCGCCGAGTGATGGCCGTCGAGCTGAGAAAACTCACGAGCAACAGCGCTGAGACTGATTCCCAGGCTTTTGTCCGAAGTGTGATAAAACCCATCCGGCGACTTGTTAGCCCATGGAGACTGGATCTCACTCTTCTCCCAGTCCACGCCATCAAACGGAGGCTCCAGATAGTCGATTCCTCCTTTGTAGGCCATCCATGACCATGTAGGAACTTCGAGGTCTCTTTCGGCAGGGAAGATGATTCTATCGAGGGTTGAATCAGATCCTCTCTGCCAAAGAAGGCTGCGTCGTAGTAGTCCACCGCCATCGTCAATGACACCGTAGCCGCCGTGGGTCTTGAAGCTTTGGATGAGTCTCTTTTCAAGACCAGCTATACCGAAGGGTCTGTCTTCATTTCTAGAGAACTGCAGACGCGAGTATTGCTTGTACAAGTCTTGGTAGAGATGGATTTTGGCGCCCCTTGGCGAGTTCATGGCGATTGTGGGAAATCGTGGATCACCGAGGAACGCGGCAACATTGCTATAGACGTGAAGTGTCAGCATGAGCCAAGGTCTTGTCAGATACGGGCATGCACAGCAATTTGACTTACTTATCCAGCTTTGTCATTGTCTCGCAGCGTACCCCTTGGCCGCACTCCCAGTATGTCTGTCTTTCAGTGAAGTAAATCGTCCTATGCGCCAGTGCTCGCTCCTGCAGGACCCATCCACGTTTACATAGCCTTCCTTCTAGCACATCGCCTTCGAAGTCATCAATCTGCTGGCAGACATGATAGTTACCACTGCTGTTTCGACTGAAAGTGACGTAGTTCCTGCCGGGCCGTGGTCCAAGAAATCCATCCTCTTGCCCAGTAGCGCGACTGGCCGCAATGACGCAGTACGCAAAGCTGAAAACGTCTTCCATATGTTTGGACTCTTCCTTGAAGTCTCCGTCGGGTCCCTGCACGATGCAAATTGAGTCTATCCACAGATGCTGAAAGCCAAGTTCTCTCGTTGTGATGATTGCGTCTTTGAAAGTAGCAGGTAAATCTTCAAAGCCGATGCCTCTTCTGTGCTTCTCAATATTGCTCATATAGGTGCAGAAATGTCGATGTTTCGCAGGGTCTCCCCAGGGATGGGACAAAGCCAGATACTTGCCACGGGCACCATTTGTTTCCCATAGACGAATCTGCGATCCAGAGACGTCAAGTAGCCTCGTGGGAAGATTGACTTCACCAGCTTGCAGACAATTACTATGACTCGAGTCTTGATCGCAGCTCTGAAGCCACTGTCGTAGCACTTCGAAGTGCATGGGATGGCCGCGAGGTGCAAGTCTGGGAAACCCAATCTGAAGTCCGATGCTGTCATATTTGGAGAAGGTTGAATCTGCCATACCGTATGAGTCATTACATTCGAGGAAGCAAAGGAAACTAAAGATTAGAAGCCAAGCTAGCCTTCACGTACCTGGATCATGAACAATACTCAGAATCGGATCGGTAATCCCCGACATCCTCAGGGTAGAACCTTCACGGTTCAGCTGAAACGAGCCTGCTTTTCGCAATTTTTGGCAGGCTTCTAAAAGTAAATTGCAAAATCCACACGCGCCGGCTCTGTGTTGTAGATCAGAGACTGTATCAGAAAGGTGAAACCCGGTAGCCAGAATGTCTAGTCTCTCGCAATGCTGACAGAGCTTCTGGCTCCGGGGAAGGGACAAGTCATTTGCAATGTTGTTGGTTTTTGTGATGAGCATTTTGGCGAAGCCATTGTCTCTACTGAAACGCCAGTGGTCGCTGAGCTGATAGCAGTTAACGAATGAGCTAAGAGCCTCAGATGCAGAGTCTAACTTACTGCCTTAATTTGGGAACCATGTTAGCGATTAGAGATAGGAAATACCTTAGAAAAGGGGCCTAGGCATGGAGTTCACAGATAACTTACGTGCTGCATCGAATCAAAGCACATTAGTTAAGTCCTTAACGTTTGGCACTAAAACGACATTGAACTCTACTCAACTTACCTCCTTAGGACCATTCACAACTGTTAGTGAAGTGCGTCATGTCATATTTTGGCTAGAAAGGGAACCAGAGTACTTAACTCACATACTCAACACCCGAAGTCAGCTTTCACTGCCATCTCCAGGTATCGTCGTGATCAACTACTCACGTCATGCTACAATGCAGGGGTTAGTTTGGGAAACTCAAGTTGATGGTGGATACATACAAACTGTATCAGAGTCAGCTGATGAGCTTAAGGTATGGTAGCGGAGCTCGATACTTACACGTTGTGCCTGTAACGTGCCTGGAAAAAGGTTGCTCCCTCTGGGCGTTTCAGCGGCAATTGGTGAAAGCAAACTGTTAGACTGAGATCTTGGCGGAACCAATGCAGGGCCATGAGAAGTTTGTCGATCATTTGATCTAAGGAGATAAGTCTGGTTGGAATCTGCCTTTCGAAGAATCGTTTCCAAGCCAGATCGCATAGCTCTGGCGTCAGCGCGATAGGGGCCGATCTCGCCGAGATCGGGTGTGTTTTGGCTGGTGCTTGTCACGGATACAAATCTCTCCAAGTTTTCCTGAATGATTGGTATTTCATCAGTGCCGTTCAAAATTATTGTCGGCGCTTGAATGCGCAAAGGAACGACGAGCAGTCGGTTCCTGACGAGGCCGAGTAGATCACCGAGAGCTGAGTCTCTACCGCACTGCGGGTCGGCAGCCATCAAGTCCATCCATTTCACCACAGTGGGATGGACTTCTGCCACTCGCGCCCCGTCGACATCCTTGGTCTTGAAGAAACTGGAATCGTATCCATCATTGAGGCTGTCGTCAAAATTGTCCAATGCCTCGTAGCCATACAGGAGCCAAATGACGCACTCGAGCATGATGCAGCCCATGGACCAGATGTCGTAGAGTCTGGACCTAGCCTTGTCAAGACGGTTGGTGACAACTTCGGGCGGCTCATACCGGACTGTACCATACTTTGCACTAGTCGCTTTCTTCCGTACCGCCGTAGCATCATTGTGGTGTTTCGCAAGGCCCATGTCTGCAATCTTGAGGACGCCAACACAGGTGCTATCTCTGAATCGGAGAATGTTCTCCGGCTTCAAGTCTCCGTGACGGTAATTGCCTTGATCCTTGTAATTATGCAAGGCATGCAGCGCATCGGCAAGCCCACAAAGTTGAGTGATTGTTTGCTTTACCAGGTCCGGTGTGAGAGTAGGCCGGTTTTGTTCTTTCCAGAACTCTCTCAGATTGCCGCCATCTGCCCACTGGAACATGAAATACCGTTTATCTCCGCGAGTAATGGCAGCGATTCGTTTGATGATATGGTTGTGCCGCAAATCGGTTATCTCGGAAAGTGCCTTCCGCTCATCTTCGTAGTTCTTCTCGATCTCGTGACGCAAGTTGTTGTTGACGAGAATTTCTTTGATGGCAACGTGGGCTGGATGGTCGTCTACCTAATGAAGGTGAGTTTTGTATGATACATCGATGTTGGTTTGATGCGTGGGCTCTCACTGTCAACTCTGGTTGTTCTTGGTGTTTGGGGTGGATTTCCACTTCATACACCTGACTAAACATGCCTCCTTTGACAATGTTGTTGACCCATGTGAAAGGAAAGATACAATCAGGTGATAAATAGTGCTGGAATTCGGTTTTAGAGAACACCGGCGCAAGAAATGCCCATTGCTGAGTATAGAAGTTGTTGATTCTCCAGCCATTCCATATTCTTTTGATGCGCTTTTCTGCCATGCGATCGAACGGAAAGGGAAAGACCCACGCGGAGGAATATTGGCCAGGAGTCACTGCTTTCTCTATCGGAAGATGGCTGTCATTGAAACCAGCGATCCTGAAGAACCTTACAGTCTTCAGAAGCTCGGATCCGGTGATTCCGCTACATACTGTGATTGCAAATATTTTCTTTGCTTTTTCTTTGACGAAGCGTATCAGTGCCTTTTCTGGTGTTTGGGGATCATCGTCTTCGTCGAAAAGCTCGTTAGAAATCGCGCCCTCGGTAATGAGGTTCTCAATACAGCCATCTGGCAAGAAGGGCGGACTGCGCTCATCGAATCTGCTCTGCACAAAATGCTGGCAAATCCGGTCACCTAATGATGATAGGGATTCGTCCATCGAGTTGCTGTCGTGAGCCATGTCCGGTGGCACGAGAAACCGAAACCAACGGAAGAGAGGGGCTCTGTCGGAGATGGCGGAGGTGAGGGGGCCAAGTCGCGACAAACATGGCGGAAAGGGAAACACAAGGAATATCAAGTGACGCAAAGCCAGCCACGGATATTTCCGCCGCAGCATTGTATCTGAGTTGATAAGGCTCTGGCACGTCGTGGTATCTTAGTCATGATGATGAGGACGGTCACATTTGTTGATGATCACGAGCCAATGAGACCACAGCCTACTCGGCCACCCCCAAATATTGATTCAGCCAAGCCGTGGCTGCTGAGCTCCTGTCCGAAGCGTTCAAGCTCCTGCCCAATAAAGCGACTAGTCGTTGTTTTGAAGGTGCCATTGAATTGCGAGCCTGCTGCGTTGAGGGGGAAATATTGACGTGCTTCTATAAGACGCATTGCAGCCTGCAGCACGCAGGCTGGCATGCGGTCAGCAACAGGAGACCAGATGTAATCTATTGGTGGATGTATCCGCGCGAGACTGCACCAAGCGTCTCATTTTGATGTTGGCTGGCCAGAACCGCCGAATCCTGCAGGCTTTCCCGAGAGGAGGACTCTAGCTGCATGATAAGATGAGGGATCGGCTCCCAGCCTGCTGGAACCGCTGCCCACATAGGTTTTTGCCTTCCTTGGCATTACTCCATGTTCGCATGGTTCGCCCTGATTCCTTGGCCCATAGGCTAGTGTTAGCAGAGAACGGCACGAACGGGTCCCGAATCTCTTCGGGGAGTACCTCGAAGGTGCATAATGCATCAAATTTGCTCTGCAGACCTAACATTTGGAGCACAATGGCACTGGAAAGCACCCCCCAAACACCTACTTGATTATGACCTAGAGCCTTTCCTCATACTTGATCGTTTCTGAAGACCCTTAAAACCACTACCAACTCGGCTCTGATGCACTGCGAGGCCTTCACTTGAGTTGGTCCTGGCAGGAGAGTGATCCCAGCTATGGTTATCCAGAGGTCTCTCGGCAGGCTCTGAACAAAACTTTGGAGATAAGACGCACATCTTTCGCCAAATGGAAAGCCTTTGTAACACTTCGATACAGGTAATTCGTCTGTCTCCAGATTTGGGATCCTCCGATTCTACTACTAACATCCCGTACATAATCATGTTCAGGAAGTGATGCAGGTATTCGCTGCATGCAGGATGAGAGTGAAGTCTGTGGTCCACGAACTAAAGGGATTGCGCTGTTGCATTAGACTTGGAAAAGCGAGTGAAGAAATAGAAAACTGATAGAGAAGGCTAGGTAGACTCACCTCGATGACAGCCTGCTTCACTGAGGCTGCCGTCGAGTCCTTCGCTTCAGGGTCATCGATTTGGAAAAATGTATCCGAATCAATGCCTGACAAATACGGGTCGGGCGAACTTCGTTTCAGGGCAAATTCAAGGAGTAATTCTTTGCCACCAAGAGACCAAGTGATAAATTCGAGAAACAAACACCCGAGTGACCATATATCGTATGACTGTCTGATGATGCGCCGACGTAAGTCGCATTCTGGGGGTCGATACGTGGGAGAATTGGGCACCTGGCTTCCATGTTGATTAGAACGACTGAGTCGGCTGTTTAACTCTGCGAGACCAAAATCTGAGATTCTTAGAACACCTTGATGTGTGTCACGGAACCAAAGTATGTTTTCGGGCTTAATATCCCCGTGCCGACCAAACTGCCGTTTAGCGCTCTCGTGATTGTCTCGAGCGAGCGCATCTGACGGAGACAACAGTTGGCTATTAGGCTGCGCCTCATTGTCTTGAAGATCGGAGGAGTTGTATTGATGGACCCTTACGAGGCCATCAGAGATTCCTCGACATTGCTCAGCAATCCACAATGTTGTTTCCACGGCATTCGATGGTTCCGGATTCAGCACTTTCCAGTACTTCATGAGATCGGATTCAGCCCAAGGAAATATCAGGTAGAATCGATTCGATTGCTCGTACGTCGCCAAAAGTGATATTAGGTGTGGATGTGATTCTCCGCTGAATTTCTTCAACACTCGAACCTCCTTTTGAAAGAGTGTTTTGTTTGGCGAGTTGAGACATTTAACCGCGAAGGTGTTTTGACGCAACTGCGGATGTCAGATTCCAAGACCTCCGATGTCGTAACAAGATCTGTGGAGACTTACTCTCGGTTCTAGAGCCGGATCGCTGAAGTCATGATGATCAGGATGAATTTCGGCTTTGAAAACTTGACTAAACCCTCCTCGATGCATCTCGGCCGACCCCATCTCATCAGGGTGAGTGGTAGAGGTGAATGGTAGGACAATATGAGGCTCAAGCACATAATGCTTTACGTTCTTTCTCTCTCCCTTGGTGAAAAATGGTGGGAGTATTGTCCATTGGTACTCTTCGAAGTTTCTGATGTTTACTCGTGTCCAGTACTTAAATGCTTTCAATGGACAGTCGCGTCTTGCCTCGACTCGCAGATCGAATATCCCGCCCTTCTCAGAGGCTTTCACAAGGGGTAGGTCTGCGTCGCAGATACCTTCCTCCAGAAATCCTGCGATGGCGGGGACCATGTTGATCAACACAAGTATTGCAAAAATCTTCTGATAAGACTTGCTACAAGCTGACTCGGAAAGTTCTTTGGCCGGGTTGGGATTTTCACAGATCATGTTTGCGAATCTTTCCAAGCTGTACTTTTTGATCCGCGGGATTTTCTTCCTTAATTCTCGAATTACTGATGCTTTGTGAATGAGATTGTTCAGCTGTCCTTTTGGCAGGAATTGTCTTTGATTTTGAGGGTTTGTGGCGAAAGACATGAATAGGCGGTCTTCGAATGAGTCGGCTAAGAATTCCTCCTGAGTTGGCGATGGAGGAAGTAGCCCTTGACTCAGTGCTTTGGTATACATCTGATCTCCGCGGTCCATGACTTCGCTAGGTTCTAAGGGCAAGCTGGAAGCAGATAGTGCCGATGTAGGTGGTAGACCATTCCCAGTGATCGAGGCCAGAGCAGCGTCAGGAGCTGGGCTAGATTCTCTGGGATCGGTAGATAGCGGTGTGTCCTGTCCAGTATTCAGGCTTAGTCTTCGATGTCAAAGCCTACAATTATCTGTCTTACTTACCACCAATTCTAACATACTCTCTTCCATAATAGTAGGCACTGGGTGAAGATCTTGGGTGCCATTGCCGAGACCAAGTCCTCGCATCTGCTCGGCCATAATGGCAGATGCATATCCATTGCTGATTAGAGACCCATTGACCACTGTGTTGTCTTGGTTCGCTTTTTCTGGCCATGGGCTTGAAGACTCATTGTAATCATTCCGAAAAGGTTGCTGCGATAAGTTCATCTCGGTACGTATAGAGCCGTTATACACCGTTTTCCTCTTGTTGATGATCATCGCTTCGGCATTGGAAAGTTTTCGCAACAGAGAAGGTACAGTTGTCAAATCGTTTGAACTTTTCGATCGTTGAGACTGGGACAAATCTTGGGCAGAATCACTACAGCTTGTCGAATCCAGGCCCGGACTCGAAGACAGTGACCGGAAGTTGTTTGTCGTCTCCATGATGACAGGTTGCAAGAGACCAAACAAAGCCGTCTCAGTGTGACTGAACATAATTTAATGAGAACAAAAGGCCTTAAAAGGAGGGCGCGCTATCTTATGCCCCTGCCATCACGATTATGTCGGTTGGCTGCCCAGCCTGCTGCGTAGCCCGCCCCCATGGCGCCTCGTTTTGGGAATAGATCCTCCCGGCCTGTCACACTATCAGCTGAGCCACCAACTCCAGAGCCTTACCACCCGGTGAGAGAAAGTGGAAAAAGCAAGACGAACTTTTCTTCCACATGGCCTGTTTAGGCGCCACCGTAGCGCTTCTGCACATTTGGCTTCCACCAATGGTACACAGGAGGGCCATCCAACGGGCTCAGCAACAGTTTCAAGCGGTTCCAAGGCAGATCGGGTGTGCTACAGGAATGTCTCTCAATCATTCTTACATTTTACTGGGCATGGAAGACTCCGACGATGGGGGCTGACAGCTGCGGAGGATGACGGAGACGCACCTGCATGTCGCCTACTCTGGAGAGGTACTTTCAAGTTATATCTAACAGTCTGGCCCTTCGAGGGTTTGGCTCATCAAAGACCACAGAAAATTTCAGCAGTATCGAACAATTTTCAGATCAACTCCTTTCTTGAGAAGTTCTCACCTCGTGTCAGAAAGCTTGTCATGTCCCAACGCACGACATCAAGTCACCTCATTGCACCGAATGATGAGAATGAGTCTGTCGATGTCGCCACTTTGTCCCAGGACATATCTGCCAGAGACATCAACCCTGCGAAGCTTACCTCCTTACTGCGAGACAAGTTTGGAAGTGGTTCATACAATGTGCATGTGAGACATGATGCTATGCAATATCTCAAGATCGCTCACTAACAGAGCTCGTCGGGTCTAGATGATGCACAATATGTACATGATACGAGCTCCGCGACGTCTTTCTGTAGTAAGCCGCTTTCCAATCGTGATGTTGAGGCCGAATCTAAAGCATGCAGACCGAAATCGCGCAGTGTTCTTGATCTTTTCTTCATACATACATATGAGTAGAGGCAACGGCGACATTTGAGGTTTTTCATACGCCCAGCTTCATGTTTCATTTTACAAGAAATTTGTTTCTCTTCTCAAACACGACCCTCATTGTCAAGGATGCAATGGTATCAAGGTAGACACATGCATTGGCAACAGTATTTCTCAATCTTACGTTGAGATTTTTTAAACATACGACTGGTAATTCGTCATCGCAATTAGACTGTGAAGGAAGTTCCTGTTGCCAAAAGCCTGACATTCCCTAAGGTAGTTCGATACGCAGCATCAATGCTAAGTAGAAATGTAGTCCGGGCCTAAAGTGTACTATTCTTTTCTTCTATGAGTCTCTTAATTATAACTTGAAGTACTTTGACCCGCAAATGCCTATTCTGACTCAATGTCAACTAAGATGCTAGTGGTGGAGCATGGGGTAATGTGGAGTTGGCGCTACTTTGGTCAAAGATAAGACCGCTGATACTTTTCCGATCGCCTCCGGTCTACCTCCGGGTAACCGTGGACTCCTCACTCCTTCTAGATACGGATACATTACTTACCAGGACTTTCAACGTCTATCATTTCGATGGATAGAGCCAATCTCAGTGAACCTTCATAAGTTACACTGACTCCACCATGCCTGTCCAGGAAGACGTGAGCGGCATAGAGCCTGAAGGCCCGCCCGCCGCTGAGTCGACCGGTGGCCGGGTCTGGCAAGCTTGCCTTGCCTGCCGGCGCAAAAAGGTCTGTCTTATGACAATGAGATATCACCAAGACTACGAGATATGTCTTCAGAATCGCGCGAAAACTGACAAAGTGATGAAGATCAAATGCGACGGAAAACAACCCTGTCACAACTGTAGCTCTCGTGATCAGTCGTGTGAGTTCCCTGGGACAATAAAAGACAACGCTTCTGCCAGTCGTTAGTAAGATATGCCTGCCTCCTCTACTGGCACCTTTCTACATGCATGAATGACTGATTGAAGAGCAGTTACGTGACCTCTTTTGAAGCACGATGCCAACAGATGGATACACTCTGTCAACGACTAGAAGTGCTCACGGGGCAGCTATCACAGTCTATCGGCGTTCTCAACCAACAACCACCTGTGCCAGCGAGCCAGAATCAGCCTACTGATCGTATCTCGGCAGCCGAGGTCATCAAATCTTTGCCAGAACTTGCTGCATTGTTATCTCAAGCAACTGCATCTCCTCGACAGGAATCAAGAGCGACTGAAAACTCAAGTTCGTACGCAGGCGTTGCTGAATTGGATGTCAACGCAGACGTAATAGACGATGAATTCGAAACGTCTTCATCCAACAGCGAGGATGAGAATGATGATTTTACTTCTGTAGTCAGTACCTCCAGGTTGAGAAAATCAGCCGCCGAGGATCTTACCCAAGCAGGCGCCTTAGTACAAGATTCCTACGGCCGCCCACGGTATGTTACACTTGGAAACTCTGATATCCAAATCAGAAGATTTAACCATCCCTAAATCTAGCTTTGTGGGTGGTGCAGCGAATAATCTTATTGTTGAGGCCGCGAAAAGCCTTCTGCCGAATTTGGCGACAACCACGCCCTCTTCTACAGGAGCCAGTCACGAGACGCCAAACTTACCAGACCTCGAGATACCTTCATTTGTTCATGGAAAAGTCTGGCCTCCTCTTCCGTACGTACCTGCACCGGAGAGCCTGCCTCGCCCGCCGCAATATGTCTCTGACCTGCTTGTGAGCCTATACTTCGACAAGCTCCACTACATATTCCCTATTCTTATCAAGCCTCACTTTATGAAAGGTTATCAGAAGCTTCTGAGAGCCGGGCCAGACTTTTCTTCACCTAAGAGAGGAAGGTTCCTTATGGTTTTCTTCGCCGTGTGTGCGTGTGCGTCAGGGCTATTACCGTCTAACTTGGAGAGCGGGCTACCCGGTATCGACTTTTACCAAAAGGCCCTTCTCATCTTGTCTGCATCAACTGGAGAGTCCTCCATTGAGAAAGTTCAGTGTCTTGGACTTTTGTCGATGTGCTCCGCAGGGTGGAATACTGTGTCTCAAAGTTGGAATTTAGCCGGACAAGCCGTGAGGGCGGCAATCGACATGGGGCTACACATTAGTGGTCACTCCGTAAGACTTCCTTTCCGTTTGTTTATCGATAGCCTGCTGATCGAAAAGAACGCTGTCGTAAATCAGCAGTCACCGCTTCTAATGAAATCTAAGGATTTATCTCTTCAGGAGCAATCTCGCAGAGTGTGGTGGTGTGTATACACGCTGGATAGGTACTGTGACTTCAGTATCATTACACCCTAGTAACGCCTGGTCCTTGGCTAATAACCCGTGGCTCTTTGCAGAACGACATCGATTTGTCTTGGCCGTCCTCTCGCGGTCAAAGATGAAGACTGCTACTGTGAGCTACCATTGGACGTACGCGATGAGGATGTAATATCTGGGATCAAGAGCGGACACGCTGTCGACGTAGAAGCGACAACGAGCTCCATGAGCGGCTTCTTAGCGTTTGCTAAACTCTGCCGGCTTGCAGGCAAGATCCAAGAGTTCAGCTCTCCCCTGAACCTACAGAAGATCGCCTCTGCAGATGCAGAAAGAACTCATAGGTTCTTGGCTCGCGTTGATGCTCATGATCAGGCTCTTCGAAAGTGGCTCGAGAGTTTGCCCGGGGAAATTCAATTCTCAGCAAACAGAAAGAACAAGAGCCACGGGGATATATCCATGGTTCATTGTGTGATTACGTTTTTCCTACACGCAGGATCTCTTATTAACTTGTACCGGTAGGCTTAATGAGTTCCTGGTATGTGATCGTAGAACGACATTATTGATAGACTGCAGATACTTCCTGAACTATCCCAAAGACTCCGCAGAACGAGACGAAGTGGACGTCTCGGGAGCCATCGATCAATGCATTAATGCTGCACGAGGCTGTATCTACGTCGCTGATATGGTTCGAGACTTGGTGCCAGCTTCACACCATCTGGCTATCTGCATCCACTATCTGACGCTGTCGGGTATCATCCTGTAAGTCGGAGCCTACTTGTGATAGCACTTTCTATCATATTGCCGCAAATGCTCACAAGGCTTCCATTTCAGTCTTCGAGTGCCTATCGATCGCAGCAATCCAGCTCTTTTGGAAGATGCTGAGAAGTGTGCCCGATCGCTTAAAGACATAGAGCCTCGGTGGTCTGGTGCCAAAAGAAGCAGAGAAATCATTGAGAAATTGCTAGTCCGACGCCGCAGCGAGATTGCCGGAGACTCGCCCACCTGTCGTGGTAATGAAAGCCGACATTCACCCGAGAACGCCCGCAGGGCCAACAAAAGACCCTTTGCTGATGTTGAGGTCGCGTCATCCTCTCTGGTTGACGTTGCTAGCGGAATCTGGAATCCCAGCACCACCAGCTCCATGCCAGAGACGACGCATTATGATGGCTGTATGGATCCTATGCTTTTTGCTTCGTGGACAGGATAAATCCATGATAGCTCGCATAGGTACGGCTTGAAAGGACTGATCGAAGTCAGTTATGCCACAAGATTGCGCGATTTCGGGCGTGGAGGTTTGGCAGGGAGAGCAGTTCGCTAAGAAGAAGCAGAAGTAAGCACGAAATCACGAATGTAAGCAATAGTGGGCCGTGCAGCACAGCGCGGCTTCACATGTTTTCAGAAGGGCGCTGATTGGCGATATTACAAAGCCATTTCATCATTCTTCATCGTCTTCAATATTGTTATTACAAATATCAACTTGCGTTCTTCAAACATATGATTCCACAGATACTTGCGACCCGCGGTTTTCGAAGCTTTAGCACGTCCGCGAGTTGTTGAGATCATACAGAACACCTAAACGTCTTACATCAATTCTCCAGCAATGGCCTCAACCCTCCCCCCAAACGGCCGCCTCGTCAATATTGGCACACACTCTCTAGCCATCTACGCCCACGGCCCAGAGCCTAATAGCCCGGCCGACCCCGTTGTACTCTTTGTCTCCGGTGTAGCCAGTGATGCCCTCAACTGGCAAGCTGTGATACGGCTTCTCGGCCCCTCTCAGGTGCGGAGCTACACGTATGACCGCTCCGGCAATCGCCACTCGGACCCTTCACCCAATCCGCCAACAGCCGAGAACATTGCCCGAGAACTCGCCCTCTTGATTGAACACGCCTCCATACCTAACCCACTCGTTCTCGTGGGCCACTCTTGGGCTGGCGTGCTCGCGCACGAGTACTTCGCCCTCAAGGGCACCAGCCAGGTCGCTGGTCTGGTCCTTGTGGATGCGAACCATGAGACGGCACCGCTTGTGCTAGATGTCAATGACCCTATTCTCTGGACAAAGATTGCCGCAGGAGTCAAGACATACGACGGCTGGGGGTTGACGACGTCGCATAAGCTCACGAAGGAAGAATGGAACGCTTTTATCGCGGAGGAGGCTACAGAGAAGCACAAGCTGATCGCACAGCGGGAAGATTCTGAGGGGTACTCACAAAGTTTTGAAACGCTGAGGAGTAAGGGCTTGGCAAAGAGGCAGCCGCTTCTTGGGGACAAGCCAGTGTATGTGATTGTGGGCACGCGAAGCAGAGACTGGAGCGGGCTTTACGCTGCGGGTGTCGCGAAGGGGAACGGGACGGAGGAGGAGAGGAAGCATGTGAGAGATATGATTGAGGGAGTTGATGCGAAAACTGAGAAGCTCATGAGGGAGTTTCTGAAGCTCTCTAGAAAGAGTGATATCGTATTTGCGAAAGAGAGTGGGCATTTTGTGCAGATGACACAGCCAGAGATTGTTGTTGACGGAGTGAGGTGGGTGCTGGATAACCAACCGGCGACTGAGTAAAGAGGTTGCCTTCATGTTTAGTTATAAACGATTCGCCGACCTTCAGTATCCTTAACTGTAGCCAATATTGCTCTGGGTTGAGGGTAACTTGTTCTCTGAATCTTCGTTTCCCTGCTCTCCGTCCATCTTTTGTTGAACCTCGTTTCTTTGCTTCCCCATAGTCGCCACCAAGTCCTTCAACTCGGCCATTTCCCCTGACATCCAAGCTGTGATGGCAACGATATCAGCTCCGCAGTTTACGAAGTGAAACCCTTGCTTGTACTTCAATGCCGCAGCATCAGCGCTAAGTGCAAAATGACCGACATATTTCCCAGCATTAAGCCCTGCTTTGAGCACGCGTGCTGACGCCTCCTGGACTTCTGGTATTGAGGCATGGTCAAATGCCACATACCCCATAGACGAAGCAAGATCGTTGGGTCCAATGAACAACATGTCGATGCCGTCAACAGCCGCGATCTCTTCAACGGTCTCTACGGCCTTTCGGCTCTCTATTTGTACGCATATCATGACGTTGTCGTTGGCGGTAAGAAGGTATTCTCGACCGGTTTGGTTAAAAGCTGCGGGGGCAAACATAGCTCCTGCGCCTCGGAGACCTTGTGGCCAGCGTGAGGAGGGATACTTGCACGCGCGAACGATGGCTTCAGCTTGCTCCTGATTGATATGACATTAGTTCAAGGCGGGCTTTTGGCGGAAAATGGCAGAGACTTGCCTTGGTCTCGCACATTGGAACCATGATGGCATGCGCTCCACAATCCAAAGCTCTCTTCATCATCCAATGTTCTGAAGCTGGTATCCGCACAATTGGAGACGCCCCCGAGGATGAGATTGCACCGACTTGGAGATACATCTGGCTGTCATCGATGTTCCCGTGCTCCGTGTCTATGAGAACCCACTGTATTATAAGCTTCAGTCAGCATGAGAGGCGCATAGTAGAGACAGGCCTTTCACTCACATCCTCACCCAAAGGTGCCACTGTCCTCGCCAGAGAGTAGCCTGGAAACTCTAGCCACTGACCGACACTAGGCCCTTGGCCTCTTGCCGCGCGCTCCAAGGATTCGCGTAGCCTTGTCTTTCCTGATGCGTCCATGACGGGGGACTGGATTTGGTTGACCATCAAGCCGTGTGTAATACTTCATGTGGCGCCCGGAGCCTGTGTCACGAGACTTTGTGCGATTCTGCTGCTTCACAGCTTGAAATAGGTCGTATCGTCCTTGATAAGAAGAACGTCCCAATTGAATTGCATGAGTACACACATGAAAGCAGGTACTTAATCGTCATGTTTACAATCTTACAGCCGACCGTCGTCCCCTAGACGGATCAATGTCAACGATCCCATGTAAGCTCGGCCGGATCCCGGACCGTTGTTTGCTCGCAATCAGAAGAGCTTTGCCAAGTAGATATCTAGCTCTGTACAACGCGGCCACCCTTATCGAAGAATGGTTGTTGTGACCAGGAATGTGGCCTGGGTCGTTATCTCCGGTATCGCGGCCACCGCACTAAGGCACCTTAGTTGGAGTTGCCCGGAAGAGATCCGGCCGAAATATCTTGGGATGGAACCAGGGGCTCAGAGGACCAGTAGTCGACTTGATAACAGTTGCAGACTGTAGAACCAGGACCAATTGACCGCTATTGAAGATAGTCATAGATATAAACAATGGCTTTCTGTTCGTAATTCAGTGGACCCTTGAGTTGATCTCCAAGTGGAAATCTGACGGGGTTGTTCACGAAACTTTCTACCCGGATATTGTTAGCCGCCGCACTTCGACCAACTTCCGTTACCAAGATGGCTTCCGCAGCCGATACCAAAAAGCTTCCTGAAGTCGACGAAACCAGTAAGCCAGACGAAATTCTCGAAGGTACCATCGAAGATGCGACCGAATACTCCGACCGTTACTTCCGAAAACTTCGGTTCAAGATCGACCTATGGCTCCTCCCATTGATGTGGGTGTGCTATGGCACGCAGCAAGCGGACAAGACATCTCTCAGCGTCCAAGCTGTTTTCGGTCTGCGAGAAGATACCGGTCTCGTGGGCGAACAATTCAACTGGCTGAGCACGATTTTCTACCTCTCCTATCTCGTCTGCGAGTTCCCAGGAAACTGGTTGATACAGAAGAGTCATACCGGCAAGTTCCTGTCGGTTGTAATGGTACTGTGGGGTGTCGTTGTTCTGTGCATCGCCTTTGCTAAGAACTTTGCGCACCTCATGATCCTTCGAACGCTGCAGGGCGCTCTTGAGTGCACGATCTCTCCGACCTTCATGCTCATTACCGGAGCATGGTATACTTCTCAGGAGCACACCCTGAGGTCTCTGATTTGGGGCACATCCAACGCCGGAATGAACATCATCACCGGGCTTTGCATGTATGGAATCGGATTGCACGCTCAGAAAGACCCGGGTGGTTTGGCTGCAGTAAGCTAAGCCCAGATGCTGCTCACGATCGATCCTTGGCTAACGGACATTCTTAGTGGAAGGGAATTTCCTTATTCCTCGGCGGCCTGACCATCGCGTGTGGAATCCTCGTCTGGTTCATCCTCGGTACACCCCGCGAAGTCCGATGGCTCAATGAAGAAGAGAAGAAAGCCGCGATGGCCCGTGTCATCGTCAACCAGACAGGTTCTGATCGTCAAAAGAGATCCGAGTTCAAATGGGACCAAGTGTGGTTGACATTCAGGGGTAAGAATTGCCTGCAGATACCTTCAACGACGAGTAAAACCTGACACTTGCGTTTGCAGATCCTCAAACGTACTTCTTCTTCTTCGTTACCATCATCAATGCCTTACCGAACGGAGCGAACACCACCTTTTCGAAACTGATCTGGAAGTCATTTGGGTTCACCCCGCTGGAGACGTTGCTGAAGGGCTCCACTCCTTACTACTGCGTGAGCATTGTCTGGTTCCTAGTAGTTGGATTCGTCACGTTGAAGAAGCCGAATCTCAGATGTAAGTTTGTCAAAACGAGAACTTGAAGCCTTCACCGACTGACTACTGGACTCACTAGTCTTGATGATGATGTTTTCTCTCGTACCAGCTTTCAGTGGCATGATGGCTCTGGCATTTCTTCCCACGGATTCTATGAAATGGACAAGATGGGGAATGTACATCCTGCAGGTCTTTGGTTCCTTGCCAGGTCTCAGTAAGTTTCCTGCTGTTCACTAATATCATGTCTATCCCTCGTCAATGCCGAGTACTAACACAACTTAGTGATCTGGACCTTCTTGCCCTCAAACGTTGCGGGAAGGACGAAGAAGACTGTTACATCTACAGTCCTATTCGTCGCCTATTGTGTTGGTAACGCGGTGGGCGCCCAAATGTTTGTGGCGTCTGACGCTCCAAAGTACATTCGTGGTCTCACTGCTTGTGCTGTTCTCTACTGCGTTGAGTTCTGCAGCATGGCTACCTGGCGTTTCTATTGTAAGTGTCTGTCCAATACTGTTGTCAATCGGTTCGAAACTGAAAGCTGACCTTTATTCAAGACATCTGGGAGAACAAGAGGCGGGACAGGCTTGTTCGCGAGCAAGGGATTTCCAAAGAGGAGAGTGAGCGTCTTGGAAAGTTGAATGCCGAGGCAGATATGACTGACAGAGAGAACATTCACTTCAGATACAAGTATTAGCCAGCCTTGTCAAGTATCAGCCAGCCTTGGGATCTATGGCTTGCTCCATGACGCGATATTGAAAGGGTAATTTCAGTATACGATCGATCTATAGAAAGTTATGGTTCAGACGGAGTTGAGCCAGTTGTACGGTCAATGCAAGATTTGGTTTCCTCGCTTTCTTCTCCGCGCAAGTTCACGCGGACCTTCCTCGCAGTGTCTTCCATCTCACCCATGGTGGTGGTGCGACTTAAAACACCACCAACATCACGCCCATGCCTAATGGCGGCCAAGGAGCTGCTCTTCCACAATGGTACGTTGCCTCGACTATTGGAGTTACCGAGTGTTGTGAACAGAAACGCGATCGCCGAGATAAGCATCACGCCATGGAGAGCAATCCACGGCCACTCGATGTGGTACAGTACTGTGGACTTGCCCACCTTGCCGTAGTAACTCAAGGAACCGTCCTGAAAACGATCTGTATCTTGGCCACTCTTCAGGCTCTGACCCGGCGCATAGTTCCTCCGCATCTCGTTGGTCATGCTTGTTGCTAGGGTGTAAAATGTGCTGGTGATATTGTGCCTGGTCCAAGTCCAGAGACCGTCCAACGCCGGCGGCGTAGCCTTCATCGACCACTTTTCCGCTTCAAACGGCCCGAACGACGCGCCATTGAAGCCAACTGCATCAGATCCCAGTACCTTCTCGATCTCCTCTCTCTGATCCGGAGTGCCTGAAAGATTGGTGCGGAACAAGTCCTGCATGTGCGCACTCATCGACTTGACAGAGTCTTGGGATATTCGGTAGTAGCCCTCGTTACTGATGTTGGGGAATTCGAGCCTCAGGTCGGTATTGTAAACAGCAGACCAATATTTATCAAACTCCAGCGTGCCATTTGCTTCTTTGGAAATGATGTTTTCTGGTTGGCCGTCCTCGTACTCTGAGGAGCGTTTCCACGAATCCGGATCTCGTCTCGAATCTAGCGCTTCGGTGACGTTCTCCTTGACTTGGTTGCCTTCAACCGCTGAATCGATCCGCTTGACACAGTAGTAGAGCGCGCACTCGGTAGCTTGCATCGGTATGTCTGGCCAAAGTTTGAGTCCGGTCGTAGAGCCCCTGTCCGACTCGCCGGGAGTGAAGCCGGTCGACTTATTGAGCGCCTCCATATCTGGGTGAATGATACTCATTGACCACAAGAGCGTATCCACATCCTTCATGGAGTTGGTTTTGCTAGGGATTCCGGTTCCGAACGATGTGGTCGTGTACTTGTCATCCGAGTAGACGCCCAATGGCTGTTTATTTTCGCATTCTGCGTAAAGCCCGTTGTATGGTGGGCAGCCATCGATGTTGGCAATGAAGTGACCGTTTGGAAGGACGAATGCTGTTCCGGGGACTTTATAGCCAGCTAATGTGGTGTTCGCCAACGCAATGATTGCCTGTCCGAAACCCCCGACCTGCTTGAGCTCTGATGTGAGGTCGTTGCATTTGTGGCAGATCCCTAGACTCTTGAATTGGTCCCAGGTGCAGTTGCTCGTGGGGCACTGGATCAATGCCTCCTGTTCTACTTCCCAGCGTGATTTGGATAGCCCATTCAAGATTGCGCCTTGCATGGATAGCGGCGTGTCCGTTGAAACCCAGTACTCCGTCGTGGTCGAGTTTTGCCTCGATAATTCTGTGACCTGTGCTGTGCCCATGGAGTAGGTCTGTGTGCCGGAGTTTAGCGCAAGTGGTCCTTTGTCTGTCTGAGTGCTTCGCGTATAGACAACGCCCTCTCGAACTTGGATAACCTGCTGGGCGAGGGGATCGAGAGCGACGGCAAGCAGGGTCAGGATAGCACCGAGTTGGACGGCATAACTGGTGCCAAAGTCGTCAGTGACCCTTCTATGAGATGTCAGAACATGATGGAAGAGGTGAACTCACGCGCCTCGCGTCCGAAAAATAATCCGCAAGCTTCCAAGAGGGCCGCGGGTGGCGGCGTCGATACGGTCGAAATCCATGAGCGGCCGGTCTTCGCGGGTGAAGAGGATCCATTTCCACTGCGCTAGACATTCTGAGAGGACGAATGCCACAGCGGCCTTCATCGTTACTGACAAGATCGATACTACCGCGTTGAGCGTCACTCCATTCCAGGTGAAAATTGGTTTGCCGTCAAAGCGGGCAAGGAGTACCACCATTGCGGTGAAGGAGATGATGCCGCCGACCAGGGCCCAGTATTCTGGGCCCCAGGCCGACCATCGTAGTGAGTGAAGCATCACAGGTGCAGTTTGCTCCTGCGACTGAAGTTCTGATGACGCGAAATGAAGATTGAGATTTCAAATGTGCAATGGCAGAACTACATATTGTCTATCGGGAGCAACCCAGGGACGCCAGGCAGCTGAGATTGCCATTTCTCAGCGGCAAAACCCCTGACTACATGAAGCAACTTCACGTCTAGAGTGAGATCGGTCTCACTTTAGGTGGTGTCGGGTGGATTGAAGTAAGCATTAGGATCCGAACCCATGTCCGTCAGCCCTAATACGACGAGCTAAATTCTTGACTTCACCCCGAAGGCATAGTATTTGCTCACGCAAGGCGCTATTCCTGGCCTAGCAGCGGCATGGGAAGCAAAATCACTGGCCTATAGGCTCCAGCCACCGTCTCGCATCGCTAGCGAACAAACGCGTGACACCTTGCGCCTCAAGTATTCAATCCTCACGAGTTTGCAGTGGACCGTAGAAGAGTCTTCAGATTAATGTGACTGGCCGCCTCGGATTATAGAGCAGTTCACTTGCCAGCAAAGATATTCCCCAGTTTCACCAGTTCGCTCCATCGCTCATCAGGCCGAACTTCAATCGTGGCCTCCGGAGTCAAGACCTTCATCTCCTCGACACTCTTCGTCCCGTACTCGTAGCCCTCAGTGTTGTTCACAAAGTTGACCAAGATTTGAATCCAGCCTTCCATCAATTGCCTTTCGGTGGGGGTCGGACCATGGGTGATTGAAAAGCTACGTTGCGTCAATATGTCAGTAAGAGCGCCTAGCCTATAAATGCCGTGTCCAAATGGGAAAAGAGAGAGAACCAAACTCACTTCCAGATGGGCCTGTCCATGGCATGCGCCACCCCGAAGGAAGCGGGAGCTACCTTCTCGTTGATGAAGGACAGCCTGTAGGCGATCTGGTACCGCCACACGTCTCGGATATCGACGCCGTTGTCAACTAGCGCTTTCGCAAGTGCCCTGGACGGTGCCCGCACTTGTCCGTCCGAAACGATTGATCCTGTGGCATGTAGTCAGTGATACTGACACCAAAAATTGCATAGAGGCTTCTTACCGAATGTTGTTTGCCAGTCTCGCAACTTGTCTGATTCTGGCAGCTTGTACTGTTGGATCGCGCGATCTGTAACGTCTGGAGCGTAGTAGTTTGAGACCTGTAAGCGCAGGGCTTCCAGCGTGGGCTCAGTGGGTGCGTTATATGAAGAGTAAAGAGTTTCTTCGTTGCGAACCTCGCCGATGAGTAACTTGTACCCTCTTCGCTTGAACTCATCTGCGAAGTCCTTGCCCTGGAGGTACTCAATCATACCCGTGTGTATGAAGACATCATCGGTGACGGGCCGGAAGGTGTGGTTTTTCAGTTGGGGAATAGCCTCCAAAAGCTCTTCCACAGTCTTTCCCCGAAGAATAGAGAGCTTCTCCGCTCCTGACACTGAGGCGTCAATCCTAAAGTAGTCGCAAAGCTCGTCGAATTGGCCTTGGACATCGGCAAGAGATTTTGGCTGGGCCGGAATCGCGTTTGAGTCCATGAAGATGCGGTGATATAGTGAAGAGACACTTCCCGTCTTCCGGAAGTCGTAGAGCATCTGAGCTTCGGCGCTGTATGCCCCAGCACTCCGGCCGGCAAGCGTCACGTTCCCCGGATCTCCTCCGAAATGAGCAATGTTGTCTCTCACCCACTCCGCGGCCACTCGTTGGTCCCAAAGACCGAAGTTACCGCCCGCTTCACCGTTGCTCTCTTGCAAAAGGTCGTTTCCAGCAAGGAACCCAAACACGTTGAGTCGATACCCGATAGCTACGACAATGGCGTTGAGGCCACCCGTAGTAATCAGCTCTGTTGCATCCATACCCGGCTCCTGCGACGGGTCACCCATCTGGAACCACCCGCCATGAATCCAAAGCTGCACCGGCCATTTCTTGTTTTCTTCGCCTTCTTTGGGAACCGGGGTCCAGATGTTGACAAACAAGCAATCTTCGCCATAGGTGTTTCCACCACCGTCAGGCTTGACTACATGGAACGCCTTCTGAGGGCATACGGACTTGAACTTGGTTGCGTCGTATGCTCCTCCATTATCGTCGGTGTATGAGTATGATGCGGGTAATGGTCGCGGCTTGCGCCATCGGTGCTCGCCAGTTGGTGGCAGTGCGTAGGGAACACCAGTGAAGCGCCTGGACTTATTGTCGAACTGGAGGCCGCGGATCGTTCCCCGGTCGCCCAATTCGAGCTCGATTGGCGTTTCTTGGTATGAGATGGTGTTGCCCATGGTGAGATGATTCTGTTACAACTATGATGAGTGCAATGGGTATGGGTAACCATCGAGCATTCTCATCTGATGACTGACTGATGAATATGCCATCAACAGCTCCTGCTACGGTTTCGGCGGCAGAACTGGGCTCCGGCGGGGCTCCGAGATCCGTTCCGGCATGGGGCCGATAACGCTTGATTCCCTCCCCGCGGGCAGCCAACTGATAAGATATCGTCTCCAGCTTCGGCCGGATCTCCGTCCGATGGGCCGACTCGATATGTCAAGTGGAATGATTGAGTAGGCTCACGTATGTAAATACTTTGGGGACATTAGCCTAGATACGATGTCACAAGCTTCGGCAAGTAGCTCAAGGGTTCTGATGCTTTTGACGACGAATGAGTAAACTTATATCTACTATTGATCTTGTTTCCACTTGAGCTTGCATTTGCACAACTGTCTCCAACTGAGTGTTCAGCTTAACACGAAGAGAGACGACAAAATGGGGAGCCTTGGCCACAGCTCTACTATGGTGGATCTTTCCCATCATATCAATGCCAAGAGCAGAGCCCGTCATCCCTCACCGTTGAAAGACATCATCAAATTCATGGGATATGATGGTATGGTGAGCTTTGCCGGAGGTAAAACGCGGAGCTCCCGATATTTGGGATGAGATGAAATTAACAATGATAGGATTACCTCATCCGTCTCTCTTTCCGCTTGAACAAGCCAAGTTTGATTGTTTATCCCCCGAAGCTCCACTTTCAGCCAACCGGCATTCTATCGAACAAGACAAAAGAGATGGGCTGAGTTTGGAATTCGGACGCGGTTTGTCTGTAGGAGATCTAGACTTGACCCAATTTCTTCAATATGGTATGTATTCCCGCTTCGATAACCTTCAGCCGTACTTTTACTTTAGAACGGCGATGTTGACAATTCGCCCGTAGGTTCTGGTGCCGGCAATCGGCAGTTGATAGCTCTCGCAAAGGAACTAACAGAAAGAGTACATTCGCCCCCTTGCGAGTACGAGTGCCTACTACACCCCGGTAACACCAATGCATGGGCAAAGGTAGTTGGACTACTCTGCGAGGATGACGACTATGTCATAGTCGAAGAGTTTACGTACCCTTCCGCTCAGGCTCTCTGGATCCCATTGGGTATCAAAGCTGTTCCAGTCACTGCTGATGCGGCAGGGATCATGGCGAAGAGTCTTAGACATCTTTTGTCGAGATGGGATGAGCGGGAAAGAGGATCGCGAAGACCAAGAGTGTAAGTGTACCTGCAGACCTCAGCGCTATGGGTCCAGTAGATGATTAACGAGTAACAGACTCTATCTTGTTTCTGTCGGATCAAATCCGACAGGAATCACTATCTCAGCACAAAGACGAAGAGAAATCTACGACATCTGCGTTGAGTTTGGTACGCTCGAGCTACTCAGGTTCACCTGCGGAGACGTTGCTGATAGATAGTAGACATTATCATCGTCGAAGATGATCCTTATTACTTCCTCCAATACCCAGGCTACGGATCGCCTATGGAAACATCCTTCACACCCAAGCCTATCCCAGAATTCCTCAACACCCTCGTGCCCACGTTCCTCTCCATGGACGCCCAAGGCAGAATCATCCGTCTCGATTCCTTCTCGAAGACCCTGTTCCCCGGCCTCCGTCTAGGATACTTCGTCGCCAACCCGGTCTTCACCGAACGTCTCCTCCGCGCAACTGAAGTCGAGACACAGGACCCAGCGGGATTGAGTCAAGCCTTCGTTCTTGGTCTCCTTCAAAAATGGGGCATCGACGGTTATCTCACTTGGCTGCAAAACCTACAGTTCCAGTACCGCACCAGGCGGGACTGGCTCTTGGATGCGTTCAGTGCCCACTTTGACCTTCTGCCTGCGGAGAAGTCGCCTATACCTGAAGCGCAGGGTTTTGTAGTGTGCGTCAAGAACTCCCATGGCGGCAAGGTGAAACCTATCTTCAGCTTCGTTGATCCCGGAGCTGGCATGTTCGTCTGGTGTAAGTTCTACTTTGACGGCATCGACCGCTTCATGGAAATTGAGAAAGACGGAAAGAGCAAAGATCCAGAGCAGGACTTTGCCAATGAGCTGTGGCAGGCGTGGGCGACGGAACTCGTTCTTCTCACTCCGGGATCGTACTATCATGCATGGCAGGGGCCTGACAAGATGAGTACTGCCGCTCGAGGTGTTGATCCACGTACGGCGCATTTCCGGTTCTCTTTCGCGACGCCGACAGTAAGTCGATTGATTCTAGCGCCCTTAGGATATTGGAGATCCCTAACTTGGCCCATCACAGAAAGAAGAAATCAGCACCGGGGTCGTACGTCTTGCAAAAGTGATAGCGAGGTATTGGGGATAGAGGGGCTCAGCAGCCACGTCTAGTCAGGCGATGAATGCTATTGCTCAGGTTTTAGACGATTCGAACTCAAGCTAGCTATAATCCACCTTCTACGCGACTTGCAACAAGTGATAGAGTTTCACCAGTACATTCTCCCTTCTCTACATGTAAGTATGGGTATCAAAGCTTTTAAACAGCAATCGAGGGCCCGGGCTTGTTCTTGGACCCGTCATCTTGGAGATGTACCGATCTTCCTTCGATGGGCCCATCAACTCCCTTAGGTCTTTCAAAAGGCGCCATGCCCTTGCTGATCGCGACATCATCCTCGAATGTGCCATAGAGATCAAAGTCATCCTGGCATCCAAGCCTCTGTGGCTTGAAGACAAAGGTCAGGAGAGCGTAGAGCGCTCCAGCCTCCAGAAAACCGAAAATGTAGTTGCCAAGGTAATACTTGTAAAGTCCATCGTTGATCTTGACGTTGGGGTTGACCGCGGCAATCATACCCGGCATGGCGGGGACGAAGCAGACGACCCAAGCGACAAAGGCTCTCCAGTTGAAACCGTAAGTGTACCAGTAGGCTCCCTCCTTGGACCCAGTGTACAACTGGCTGATTTCAATCTTCTGCCGGCGGACGACAAAGTAGTCGGTCATCATGATGCCAGTCAAGGGGCCCATAAAGACGGAGAAACTAGCCGCCACAGACACAAACGTGCTAGCAGTGTTGTAAAACTCCCACGGCTGAACAGCCCACGATAGAGCCGCGGCCAGAAGCGCGCCACGCTTGATAGTGATCCAGGTAGGGAGCAAACCCGCGAGATCCATACCGGCAGCATATCCATTGCCGAGAATATTCTCCGCAATCTGGCCGAGAACGAAGCCCAAACTGCAAAAGAAGGCACCAGCGCGGGCCTTGGAACTGTAGTCGTCCATCATCCACTGCGTGATGACAGTCAACGGGTTCCACATGGGCTCTTCGAGCTCCCAAATCTCCATGGAGGCCGAGGCAGTAAGGATGGCGAAAATGGGCACGATCATGCCCGGGATGAAGAGCGAGAAGATGATACCAGGGACCTGGATGCCTTGCTTGCGGGCGAAACGCGTGAAGTCGGACTGGTTGAGAATACCGGCCGAGATGTTGCCGACTGAGGCGATGATGCCGTAGACCCAGGCCCATTCCTTTGTGAGGAGGGAGGGCTGCTTGGCGCCAGACTCGAAGAGAGGGCCTGTGCCGCCGGTAGTGCAGGCCCAGATCGTGATGCCCATCATTGTGACGAAGACAATGAGGTTGGCCGTGATGACGGGAATCTTCGCTTTCTCAATCCTGATGAGCTACAAGAAGAGCATTAGTAAGAGGCCTCAGAAGCTCGAGCGAGGTTTTCTCACCAGGAATGGAACCGAGATCAAGTGGAAGATGACGAATCCCACAAGGTCTCTGGTGACCATGTGCGCGCTCTCTGGGAGCGTGTTCTCCATCATCAAAAAGTTGTAGCTCCAACTGCTAAGCATAGCAGATACGCAGAGACCACCCAGCCAGGCTTGAGAGCCGTACCAGACGATGGATAGCATAATTCGGATCAATTGGCCGATGTAGGCACCGTTCATACCCAGAATGATTCTGCAGGATTCAAGTTAATTTCACGTGCCGTTTTGCACAGAAAAAGAAATAATGACAATTCGCTGCGCTTACCTTTGAGACACAGTAAACCCAATGTGCCATTCAGAGCCCATCCATCCGTTACCGATGACGAGCAGACAAATCAGAGCTCTAGCCAGGATCATCAGACCGATGGTCTGCGGGATGGTGAGACCCAGCGACAGCAGGGAAGCCGCGCCTGTCCATGCCGAAATGCAAAGACTGTAAACAATGATTAGCACATCTGGACATAAATGCAGTGAACTAAGCTAATGCAGCTTCTACCAGACTTACTTGGAGATGGATCCGAAACCCAGGAACGCCCACATTCCCCACGTTCTTCTGTTGGGAGGCAGAGGAGCGATATCAGGATTGATCCATTTCGTCGTCTCGTATCCGTGCTCATGGTCATCTCGCACCCGAAATCTCTCGAGTAGTCTTTTCGCCATCGTAGCTGACGTAGTCGACGGCGGGTCTTGGGTTGAAAGAGGATCCCCACTCGGCTTCTACACACGATGAGAGTCTGTAATAGGTCTCCTGTACAGACAACAATCGACGGTGTCTCAAAAGTTCGTTGAGGAACTCGGACGGAAAACTGAAGCTCGAGAACTGTCCCGGTAGCTGGTGCAAATTTTCCAACTCTGCTGAATACTTCGGTCTAAAAGAGCAGATGTGGCTCTTATGTCGGCAATAAAAACACCGCATCCCCCCACACGGAATAGTCCACCCTCCATCCCAGCGGCTTATCAGATTGATCAAGTGGTGCGAGTCCATCTGCAGCTCGACCTTATCAGATTCATAGATCCCTGAAGACCACCCCCAGGGATCTGCAAGAGACTTTTCATTCTTTCCGCCCGCTGTCACCAAATGTGAAGCCGATTGTCTCCGAGGTCACATTGGACCCCGCACCTGATCCGTCTATTTTTTTAGGAGGCACTGGAAGAGTAGTAGCTTGAGTTTTGAGATGGAAATGAGGCTACTTGAGGAAAAGACGACCGATGGTAGAAACAAGCTGGCCGATCAGATATCCGCTCTTGGCGCTGGCTAAGAAAGGCTTTAGAGACATATGCGGGAATGCCAAGTGTGCTAACAGCATAGAACGATGATTGGTTCATCCACCATGCCCAAGGCTTCGAATCTGTGGTTGACGTTCTTGACATGCTTTATCAAGATAGCCTGTCATGATAGCAAAGATAGCCAAAGCCTGCGCCGCAACGTGGTCGCCAGGTTCAGAGCTTATGAATCCGAGACAGTGGGTGAACCGTGAAGGACTAGACCGCGTGGGACCCGATCCACGAACAACTGGATGCGCTTGCAGTGAAGCCTATTTCAACGTCAACATGTCCCCTTGGGAGACAATTCTACGAGCTAAGCTAATGCACCCGTTTTGTTTCGTAAAATCATGCTTATGAGGTGGAGAGAGAGAGAAAGGCCCGGCTCATGATGAAATGCCGCCCGTCGTGCCGCCGCCGCCACAACCCGAACCCTGGGTGAGTTGTTTAATTACCTCACCCACACGCCGGCCGACCTCCCAGTTGATGGATGATATGGAATCAGATCGGCAAACACTCCCCCGGAAACTCTTGCGCTAAAATCATCCAATTCCACTCCCTCCCTTGATCCCTCGCCTTCCAAACCCGTTCCTCGACAAACATCCTCGTCCGCTCAACCGTAACCGTCTTGCGGTGCGTGCCAATCGAGTCAAAGACGTCGAGCACGGCAGCCCGGTCGTCCGCGTCCAGCATTTCGCAAGCAGCCATGAAGACGGGCCACAGCAGCATCTTGGACTCGGAGGGCGGCCCGCTCGTGTACAGCATCACGTCGTGGGCCTTGCTCAACGCCTCGCCATCCGCGTCCGCTGCGGACCCGGGGAGGCAGAAGAGCCGGTGCAGGTAGAGGAGGGCGCCCGCGCGGTAGCAGGCAGCCTGGGCGCGGAATTTGCGCGCTGAGCGAAAGGAGAGACTGTCTGAGATTGTGGGCTTCCAGGACTCGAGGCGCAGGCGAAGGGAGTCGGCGCGAAGGGCGAGGTTGGAGTAGCCGGCGTCGAGCCAGCTGTCGACGCAGATGGGCGGAGACGATGAACCCCTTTCCTCTGTGCTTGTCGGCGATGTTGCGCTGCCACCGCCCAAGAGGGTATTTGGGAAAGCAGGCTGAAGGATCTGGTCGCGGACCTCTTCGGCTAAAGTGCAGAGCTCTTCTAGCAACGGCATGAGGGTAACCGTATACCCGAGAAGACGGTCTGGCTTGGCCGCTTCATTTTCTAGCCAGACGTAGCTGGGAACTCTGGGACGGCGGAGCTGAATCAAGGAGACGACGAGGTCTTGTCTCGCCAGTGCCCGGAGGTAGTATCTAGCCACGGAAGATACGTCGCCTCCCGTAGAAACGTGGTGGCTGATAAGAGAGGCCACGTTTGATAGGACTGTGGGTATGGTTGCATGGTGTCCTGGTTGTGCCAAAGTGACGAGCTAGACCCTGTGAGCAATTCGATTCGGGTCACTGGGGTGTAGTGGCCCATCCATCCATCTAATGCAAGGTCCACGGGGTTCATGTTCCAGTCTCGAGCAGAAGTGATGGAAACCGACCCACGCAGGAGAAAGAGGGGGCAAAGGGAAACATGAACTCACTTCCATTGCGCACAATCCGAGAAGCAGAAAGAGCGCCTCTTCAAAGTAGTGACTTGAGGGCTTCATATTCCTCAAGTTTGCGAGGATCTTTGCCCTCCGGTTCAATACAGGCAGCAGCGCCGCGGAAGAGCTGCCGACGTCATATGAGTAGCCAATGGCCGAAATCGTGTCAGCAATCACCACCGGGTCCTGCTGCAGCATCATCACGATGTTGGCGTTCATCTCGCACACGAACTCGTGACCTATCAACAGCTCAAAGGGGTGTCTGTTGAAGTAGACTTCTAGATACGGCTGGTCTGCGACAGGCACCGACCCCGGAGGAAGCAGAGAAAAAGTGCGTGTATCTAGAGCCAGTGTCTGCCGATTTGAAGTTGGCGGTGATCTTCGTGCCGCCGGCGTCGTTGAGCTGCTGCTTGAAGACCCGGCGGAGACGGCTACGGAGAGGAGGTCCGGAGAGCTTGATGCAGATCCCGGTACTGAATCCTTTGCTGCCGCGGCGGCGGTATTACTGGCACCAGCACCGGCCGCCAGCAGAGACGAGGGTGAGTGCCTGGCATGATGTGCAGCGCCGGGTTGCGTCTTGTATCCCTGGCACACGAGCCTACGTCGAGCGCAAGTTCCGCATGAGGGGCGAATCTCATCGCACTTGACTTTTGCCTTGCGGCAGTCGATGCAGCCGTTGCGCGAGCGTCGCGTAGGAGGGACCAAGGGCGGCATCTGAACTGGATCGGATCGTCGCGGCTAACTCAACTCCAGTGTGCAGAGAGTAACCAGGGTAGCAGCTGCATTAACAAAAAGCAAGGCCGTGTGAGAAAGATACAGATAAGAGAGGTGAGGACTGAAGAGAGATTGTAAGATAGAGAGGGTCCTGGATTGTGCCTTACATCCGTTGACGGGCGTCTTGCTGTCGCTCGGATTCGGGATAGAGTTGTGGCTGGCGAGAACCAACGTTCGTTATCACGCTTCCGCCCGCCCCTCCTTCAAGCGAGCGAGCGATTTTCTGCAGTTCTGCAGCAATTTTTTCGCCAAATTGGGGGGGCCCTAGTAGGCTGCTGGCTGCTCAAAAGAGAAGACAAGGGTGTAGTTGTAACATGAATGGATGGGCGGCAGAATGCTGCGTGAGTGTGGTGAGCAATAAGTTTTTATCTTATCAGATCATCTCCATCTGAATGATCCAGCCCAACCCCCGCGAGTTGCAGGGGTTTCCCGATATTAGTGAGGGGTGAGGATGGTGAGGAGAGCCACTTGCGGCGGTACATCGGAGCCTGCGATCAACTTTGATCGGGTGTACTGTGCATGGAGAAGTAACTGTGGTTCGTCTGGTGTTTTCATGTAATTTTTCAGAGGAGGTGCACTGGAAGATCGATCCATCACGGCCCTCGGCATATGTACGTCTGATCACACAAGCCATTCAATGAGCCTGCTCACATCACTTGCTACAGTTACTTACTTAGGACGGCCAACGACCGACGAGAGAATTCCAAGGTATGGTATGGTCGTTGTAGAAAATTCTGATCATTATCGAACTCTCTTTACATTGGAAAGCCGGATAATTGTTGTCGTCGGCATGTGTCCGCCTTTGAGGGTCGCCATTGTCAACACCCTGGAAATTCTTACGTACAAATGCGCCGTCAACCCAGCGAGTCATTTATTTCAAGCACCACAAACACATTACCCAAAATCTTCAAGAATCTTCAGTGGGCTCTCATTATTTCATCATCGGTAGTGAGCCAGATGACCTTGAGCCCTTTAACTAGGAGAGATGACTCTGTGAGATCCTACCTAGAGTACCTTCCTGTGAGATCGTACCTCCTTATGCTATGACGTCTGAAGCCTCCGCCAAGGCCTCTCTCAGTGAATAAGGTGTTTGGGATCATTTCATTCATTCGAATACTCCAATCGGGCGAGATTTGAGACTTGATGTGAACGTTACCTATTCTTCCCGTAGTGATTAGGTTATACACCAGTCGCGGCAATCCGGAGACAGCTGCTGTCTTACCAGGCAGGTCACTCGCTAGATCTATCTGCTGTAAATTGCCGATGTTCAGGGCCCACGCTGCTCACTCAATCGAGCGGGGGAACAGGTGAGCCGGTCCTCGCCGGCGCTGGTGTGGACGGACCTCAAGCATCACCACCACTGCATCCGGTTTCAATCCGCGGAGTCGCAGCACAATGCCCCATTTTCCTGTTTTTCGGGGGACTTTTGCCCATTAGCCTTCTCGAGCCGCCTTGAAACGGTGTGCGCTCTTCATGCTTGATACCCCGCGGAAGACCGACCGGCCGAGTAAAAATACAGGTCTACTCTTTGCTGGCGAGAGTCTAGCGTCGCTGTGGCTGGTCTCACTCCTTCGCCTTGGCAGTGAGACCGATGACATCAACGGTCGATCCCGCGTTCTGGCGTTGCGCTACTGCGGCCGCTACCACCTTACGACCTACACAACGACTCGGAATCAGGCAGCCAGACGTGTCAATACAGTGATTTCAGTCGTGACGGCAACGGACAGCCACTCGTACTGCCTATTTGGGATGGTTTGGTCTATGCTGTGCCACAGCCGATGTCATTTGGCATCGTGCTGGTTTGGCACTATCTGAGGCGGTGATGGAGGATCACTAGGGGTGGTGATCAACACTGTTGTCTCTGCCGTGTGGCTTGAAGCACTTGGGATGACGTTCTAGAAGTCTAGTCCTTTAATTCTGAATGATAAAGACTCAGGCAATTCCTCGACTCAATTTGATCGCAACAAGTTGTCAATTTAAAAAAAGTCTCTATCAAATCACAACTGTCACAGAATCAAAATTCATCTATATTCAATCAAAGTCAAAGGAAACCCTCACCAACATGCCCGCCATCCAAGTCAAAACCAGTAACGCTGCTCGCGATGTCGCAAACCTCGTCGCCCGCGTTACAACCTCAACTCGTATCGGTAGAACCCGAAGCGGCGTCAGAGTAATCGGCGGCGGCATCATCGCAGCTATCGTCGTCGGCGTGGTCATCTTCCTCGCCGTAATCATCATCGGTGTCTGTCTCTTCCGCCGACACAAGACCCAGAGCAAGAGACGTCAGCAGGAGATGAACAAATACTACGGCGGCGACGGCCGGTCCAGCATCGGCACTGACGCCCCTCCGCCCGGCCCTGGCTACGGAAACAACAACACCAGCAACGGCTATGGCTACACCCAAGGTTACGGTCAAGGTCAGAACCAGGGCTACGGATATGCGCACATGGCTCAGCCTGGTGAGGCTGGGTACGTGGCACCGAGCAACGGCGGCGTAGCTCCGATGGCACCTGCTTATACCGCCAACCATGTCACGCACACGAAGTAATGATGTACGGAAGAAAGTCACGATACTGAAATGAGCGAGGATAGATGTTATATATGATACGATGATGTCTTGTAATTATAGTGCGATACCCACGGCCTTATGAGTTGTAATAACAAATATATTGAGTTGAACTTATCTAAGGTGGTTCCTAACGACATTCCCTCGCAGTCGTCAATGTTGATAAGCAATTGAAATCTATCTCCCGTGTTCACATTGTCTCAAGCAAGACTGGACTGTACATAAGGCCATGTGTAAGTTTCGTTGTAATGATCTTAGCGGCACACCGAAGTTATCGTTAGGAGGAAGCACAATCTCCGGCATGTGTGCTTTAGAATTACAAAAATCTTAGAAAGCAGGGCTAATTTGGATCTCTCTTCTTAAATTCATTGCATTAAACGCCATACGCATGCTGCTGACGGATACTCATCTTGTCACAAGCCGCAGGGCTAATTGAGTGGTTTTCCTATGATTTTCCCCGGCTGTTGACGGGCTTCTTCCTCAAGACAATCCTAGCTTTGCGAGCTGACTATTTTCGCCGGTGCTACACTCTCCACCGAGTTATCAACCTTTTCAGTCATAGGGGGAGCTTTCCCTTTACCCTTCTCTCCTTCTGTCCACTCTTGATACCCAAGCGACATCCAAACCCAGATCCCAATAGCGCTCGAGAGAACCACAAACGTCAAGATGCCGGCGCCAGCACGGTCACCGGTAGTCAGGGGATCAAACTCCTTGAACGGATTCGAGTTCATTCCCGCATTGGGGTCGCCCTTTGAGGTGCCACCAGTGGTATTCGTAGCAGGAGGGGCCACTTCCAGCAGACTCTGCACCGCAGCCAACACGTTCATAGCCTCGCCCGCGCCAGAAGTCTTGTCGACAGCCGGGTCGACAAATACGCCTTTGTTCCAGTAGAATCCGCAGGCGCGACCCGAGGCACCGCCGGTACACTGCTTGATGGCTGATAGAGTGGAGTTGCGCAGGACCGGAAGGATGAGGTCGCGGGTCGAGGGTACGAGTTGTGTTACTACAGTCATCCAGCGATGGACGTATCCCTTGAAGCTAAGCATGTCTTGGGAACAGCGGCCGGTCTCGAATTCGCAGGGGATTTCGTATGCGACGCCATCGGCGAAGAAGTCCTCGATGGCGCGGTTTGCGAGGGCTTCGGTGCGGTCAAACCATTTCTGCTCTCCCGTCTGTGGAGGGTCAGCATCTCGACTGATATATGGACATAGAGTCACTTACATGGTTCGCCAAAAACGCACAACCTTGCATCAATACGGCAATATTGTATGAGAAGGTTGCCTTGAAGATGTTGGTGCAGTTCTTCGGCACATGAGCACCGTCGTAGACTCGCCAGTTCTCGTGATCGATGTAGTTTACCGCCCATAGCCAGTCCCATGTCTGTTCGGCGTAGCGAGCATACGTATCGTTGCCGGTATAGCGCGCGAGTCTAGCACCGATGTTGAAGAAACACCCGTTTGAAATTGTGTTTTTATAGTCGTAACCCGTGTTAGTCCTGGGAACCTGCCACCGCATACCGCCGCCACATGTCTCGTCGTGCCTCTCCGGGTCCGCCTGAGTCGTCCAGACAGCTTGTGCGAGCGCAAGCCACTGTGGTTTATCTTCCGGAGGGTCGGGAAATTTGTTCTCTGCTGCGAGCATCGCCGTCATGCCCCAAAATCCTTGGTCGTCGTTGCCGAGAGAGGCGGTGTGGTTCCTTGGCATGTAATCGCGGCCTTCTCCGACTTGATGGAGCATGCCTTCTGTAACGACGTGGTTGTAACTCTCGTCGCCCGTGTAATACCAGTAGTCGACGTATGTTCCCATCATGGCGCCACCCTGCCACCAGTAGTAATCACCTTGGCCCGAATCTGGTGGTCCTGGCAAGATGCCGGGAATTTCTCCCGTCTTGTTTCCTTCGTAAAACTTCATAAGATCGTATGCGAGTGTGCTGGCCGTCGTGAGAATATCATCTGGATAGTGGGGGTTGTTAGACTCTCTGGCGTTACACGGGCTGTGGTGCGTTTTGGTCCTTCCTATGCGTACCTCGAGTGTCTATTGAGTACGCCGCCTCGGCAGCCCTGGAGAATGCCCATAACGCCAGCGGCACTGCGCTCGGGATATGGAATGACAGCATTTTGAGCGAGTGATTAACTTGGTATACGCCCTAGCCTGGGCTTTTATGGTGGAAAAATGAAACGAGCGACTGGTCAAGCGGTGAGTGTACGATCAGTGGTTCATGGTCGGAATCTGCCCAGTGCAAGTGACGCTGGAGAAGATGGGGCGCAGATTTCGACACCTCCAAACCGATGGCCCGCGTGCTGGTTCGAAGAGATGCACACGAGGGAGATCTTGTGTTATAACAGTCGTTCCGCTCGGGAATGGAAAAAAGGGCGCAGTTCCTGGAGGATTCGCTTAACGCAGTGATCTTTTACCGCCGGGGTCGAGTTTTGGACGTTATTATTGTTCAACTTGGTACGTTTTGGGAGTAGGCTGCTGCCTGTGGACGAGAACAACTTTGATAATCAACAAGGAGGATCAGCAAAGTTGGAATTATCTAGGGAGAAGCGCAGGCGAACGACCGGAAGATGCGGAAAGCAGCTAGAGCAAGTTAATCTGGGAGAAAATCCGGGGAAGAGCATATTGGCGGCAGTCATGCTACTTTTGTTCCCCTTTCGCGCATCTTGGCGCAGATGTGGACTCCTCACGAGCATCCTCTCAGGATTCCTGCTGATTCATGGCTTTGCCTTGGCGACATGGGACCAAGTTCCAACTGGAAGCGAACGAGATGGTAGCGGGTTTTCATCCGTCAGGGTGCACAAGAGGGGAATATTGAACCTTGGAACAGCCAGGCCTGAGGTATGCTTTCAAGAAGGACAATGACGCGGTGGAAAAGCCAGAAGAACAACACCAAGAGGCTACTAAGAGGCACCAAGAGGCACAGCTCGCCTGGGCATTGGGGCGGTGCAAGGGCCTACCCATCCTGCCATCCAATCTCGACTCGTCCCTTTGCCGGATGGATTGTGCGTCGCCAAGACAAATACGAAAGTAAACGACGGGAATGCGCCTAGGGGGGCTATTGGGCGGCCTGGGCAAAACATCCATTGGCCTTGAGAGTCTGGCGAGCCTAGACTTGATCCGCAAACCTGTGAGATCATCCACCGGACTCTCGGGCCAGGGGGTCTTGGGGTCTCTTGGGGGCTCTTGGAAGCTCCGCCAGCACACGCAGTGTTGACACGCCATGCTCCTTTGCCGCCTTGTTCATGACTTCAGGTGGCCCAAAAGCTCACCGGCCCCTTATGTTTTGTGATGCCTGAGTGAGTGAGAGCTGGGCGGAGTTGTATGATGTAGTCCGAGGTCAACATTAGCTATGAGACGGCGTCAGACAGCCCGCCATACCTTAGTGTCTAAAGTCTAGACGTGTTCGAGGGCCCTGGGGCCAACCGTTGGGAGCCACCGCGGGGTGACCTCACACGCACCGTACCCAGTCAGCCAAAGAAGCACAGCTCACTCAGCTATGCAAGAACGGGGATCATGGATTAATTAGCTCGGTTCCGTAAACCGAGCTGAAAGTCTCTCGTAAGGCCCTAAATTCGGTTTAGCGTAATGACTTCCCCTTGCTACAACGGATGCTCACAAGCACAGATTCACTGAATGCACCCCGTTGCGGAGAGACATCATGAAGCAGTAGCTTTCATATCTTGTGGGCTAACCTCATCAATCGAAGAATGAAGGTCTCGGCACTCATTTCAGCGCATTACTTGAAGTGAAGGACAGCGACACAACCGCTTCTTATCCACTCACCACTGCTCAAGTGATTGGCATTAGCGATAAAACACAACGGCAGACCCGTACTTCGTGAGAAATGCCACCTTGGCTTGGCGAGAGTTTATTCAACCCCTGATGAGACTCACTACATCTTCGACTCCCTTTCAATTTAAGAATGTCTGCAACATTCCAGTACATATGAGGTGCCTGTTTCGCAAGTGCCCAAATGATACGTTTGAGGATACGCTCAAAACTTTCACTCTGCTCATAAAACCGGCATAATAGTGAGCTTTCAACACCTAAGCCATAGTATATGACCGACAGCATAATTTAGGTAGGTACGTAATCAGTATTTATTTCTATCTGGTACTCCAGCCTTTGCTGGCCTTTCTCACTTTGTTTTGAGCCGTGTTGACTCCCTCTTGAGGTCACGGAAAACTCCAGGAGCTTGAGGCATTTAAGTTCAAATGAGGTCGCGTACCTTTATGGACTGACATAGAAACATGGAGTAGTATGAGATTCAGTCAGATGTTCACAAGTTGCCATCAAGACATCATCTCTGGCCTCAAATTTTACAGGTAAACTGCAGCGGATCAGAGCATGATGCATGTGCAATGAAGCTTATGTTGAACAACCTCGGCATTTCCACTTCGCCTGGTGTTTCAAAACTGCATCTCCATCGCAACATGCACGGCCCGATGAAACAAAGTTCGGACAAAGGACGAGAACAAAACCAGCGCAGTACCCTGATTTTCGAAGATCGGCCGCAGATCAGGGTGCTTACTCTTCCACCCACAATCATGGATCCTGTAACCATTGTCACTGCTGCAGCTTCTCTGGCAGGCGCCGTCCTGAAAGCCTCTTGGAAAGTTAAAGAGACCATCGACGCCTACGACGACGCACCTCAAAACGTAGCAGACATTGCTGAAGAGGTACATGCGGTACAAATAGCGCTCCGACAGGTTGAGAGCGTCGTGCTTCAGGATCCAGAAGCCATTGACCGGCTAGGCTTGGAGGATGTCTTTACCGTGGCCGTCAACGGGTGTCATGCTACGCTTTTGTCTATCAGCAAAGAGTACGAGGATCTGTTTCTTCGGAGTGACTGGAAGACCAAGATCAAAGTCCTGTGGAAGGAGGGAGAAATGACACGGCTGCTTGGGCGACTAGACCGCAAGAAAGCTACGTTGGCGCTATTGACGCAGACGTTGAACCTGTAAGTGACTATGCGTCGCATATTATTCTACGTCTACTAATCTTACCATAGGCGATCAACCCAGGACATAAAGACATTGTTGATGCAAAATCAGTCAACCTTGAACGCAGCAAAGCAAGATGTCCGAGAACCTGCGGCGTACTACCCAGATGTACCTGACTTCCGACCAGCTAGTCCCGATTCCCTGGATGAAGGCAGCGTGATCGGTGTCCCGAGGAACAGGGACTCAGTCATTAGCACCACGGAGTTTGACTTTGACTACGACTTAATCAACACCAAGACATACCGACGAGCGCTCCAAAGATATGCCTCTTTCAGCACGCGTACCAGCTCATCAGTGGAGCAAAGTGCGGACGAGTCGCCTGTTGCGACATCAGATCTCGAGCCAGTCATGGAGGAAGAAGCCGAAGTAGAGGATCTCATCAGTTTCCCCCCCGAGGACTTGAGTTTGCAAACACCCTTGAGTCGGGCGACGACATTGCGACCAGAGCTAGAAGTCACCGACTGTGATAACCCGCCTGCGACACCACCTAAGGACGTAGATCACAACAAGGCTGTGGCGCACGTAGAGCAGCTTAAAGCTTCTGGTTCGAAAGAAGGAAGGGACACAGAGACGCCCGAACCCTCCGATGATTCAAAGGCAAAGAGAACATCATCCCGCAGGAAGCTAGACAGGCGTCCACCAAGACGCCTCGCAGCAGCAGAAGCAGCAGCGGAGAAGTTTCACAGACGAAGCAGGCACGGAAAGTCAGGCACTGCAGCGGATCAGGAGCTCGAGGTATCATCCAACACGAGCACTGGAATGCTTAGCCGAAGTGTCAGCTTTGATGAATCACTTGCAGATACTGCGTCTCAATCATCAGGGAAGCCAGATAAGTTGAAAAGTCGGCGTAGGTGTGGACATCCCGCTCATCATAGAAGACGGCCCTGCAGGGAAGGTTCGTTCTCTTCTCGCGGATCCGATGAGTCAACCATGACGCTAGGCTCTGTAGAAACTTTGACGGATACCCTGGAAGACTTTAGTCTCTCGGGGCACAAGGTATTTGGAAGGGAGAGGGGAAGGCGACGGCAGGCTGCGTGAGACGTTGTAGACTAGAGCCAGAACAAGCATATTCGCATCATACTGTAGAGAACAGAACTGATGTCGAATGAGATTCTTAAGAGTTGAGGGATCACAAAAAAGTATCACACTTACGCTGAGTTTGCACATGATGGTAATGCATCGGACTTACAATCTTTACTTTGTCCCAACGAAACGAGACGAAGTTGCCGACACTCAGTCAGATGACATATTTAGGATTCAAATGCTCTCGTCAATTTCAACCCTCGCCTTCGCAGCAGGAGCAGCATTGAGCTACGCAGAAAGGACACATAAACTATACATATTCTAACTAAAAACTCACCAAAGTCGCTTGGCGCGGCGAATCGATCTCGACAACAATTGTTCTGGATCAACAACTAGAATTCTGCCCATACTTTATAGATCAACTTCCGGGGGGTATCATTGAATCTGAATTAAGTTCAGAAAGATATATTTGTCAATGAAAACTTCGCTCAACAAGAAGACTTGAAGCCATCAAGCCACCTTGTTGTGATGGGGCTGGACTAGGGTCACACTCTCGTCAGCTCAACGATTGGACAAGACTTTTGGATCCGGATGACCGATGCCGACAACCGGAGCCTGGTGCCTAGAGCTCTCAATTTCTCGCATACCGACATAAATCTTAGCCATTCGATCACTGAACAGGGGGAAAGCTCGGCGTTTGAGGAGACTTGGATGAGTATCCAAGGATCAGTAAATGTTTCATCTAAAGTACAATGGACCGACGATACTTCAAACCAAAGCAACAAGTTTCGAACACCACGGTTGCGTCTCGTGGACGACATCGATCACAATCACCACCAAGATCAACCCGTCACTTTACGAACCTGAAGCCACTTACATACGAACCTTTGAGAACATCGCGCTCGATTAGAGTAGTCCAGATTCTCAAATTTAACGAGGAAAACCTCGAGATCTTTGCGACACTAAGCCAGGTAGTACTGGGCGACACTGAAAAGACAACTACGAAGTATGCTGCTTTGTCCTACACATGGGGTCATCCAGTTACATCTACGGAGCAATGGGGGCCATACAGTGTCAGGCCTGAGAAGAC